ATTCAAAACTTATGGTAAATATGTGGATCTTAAAATGTGTTTTTTCTCCATTCCTTTAGCTTTTAAGTTAACACACACACACACACACACACACACACACACACACACACACACACACACACACACACACACACACACACACACACACACACACACACACACACACCACACACACACACACACACACACACACACACACACACACACACACACACACACACACACACATACACACACAGACACATGCGAGCGGGCACACATACACACTGGTCTCCCCCCTCCTTCTCCATTCATAGACTTACTCTCTGTTATTTATCTCTTACAGAATGTAATATGATTAATGCTATAAAGGTAACATCATGGAATGTAAATGGAATTCAGAACATTGTCAAGAGATACAAAATCCTGTCACATCTAAAGGGCGTGTAGAAAAAAGCATTTTAATGGCCAAACTATTCCACAATTTAGGATTTTCCAGAGAGGGTTATTTGTGAATAAACGTCCCTCCGGAGCGTTTGCAATGAACGGGCCGGGAGCATGTTGTTTCTTACACGACCACTAGAGCACCTCTAGTGGTCGTGTAAGAAACAACATACACTTTAAAACGTGTCTCTGGGTCGTAATAAGGGCATGAACAATCGGCCTATATGGTCGTTTTTTGTAGGAGGACAGGCTGGGATAATCAGTCATGCATCAGCTAAGCACAGAAACGCTATTAAAAAGAAAAATAATTTACAATCAGAACTTAAAACCATTGAGAAACAGCATATGCATGATCCTAAAAACCCACTACTTCAGAAAACATTACTCACAGTTAGAGCTGACCTGCAGAGACAGCTTTCTCCCTCTACAGACTCGGTGATGATAAAGCAGGAAAGATGCTTGCTCTTCAGCTTAAACAGTTAGAGGGTAAACTATCAATTCCAGCTATAAGATACTCTGGAGGTAATATTATAAATGATCCCAAGCTAATAAACCGCAAATTCCAAACATTTTACTCAAATTTATATCAAACTGAGTGCACAGCACAAAACCATAGGATCAATTTTTTAAGAATGTTACACTTCCTGTACTAAATCCTACTCAGAAACACGAGTTGGAATCTTCTGTCACACCAAACGAAATAGTGTCTGCCATAAAATCTCTTACATCGGGTAAGACCCCTGGGTGCGATGGCTTCAGTATTGAATTTTATAAATGCTTTCTCGAAGTGTTGTCGCCATTGTTGGTTATGTTGTATAACGACATGATAGAAAATCAATCAATTCCCCTAACAATGCGTACCGCCGCTACATTATGTCTACTTCCAAAACCTGGGAAATATCATCAATACATGAGCAACTACCGACCCCTAAAGCTGGCTACACACAAACCCGATTTTGGGAGTCAGAGGCCATCAGAGGCAGTCGGGCATTCGCGGCGCCCTACTCAGGTTGGTGTGTCCCGCACCGTCGTTTCTTTACGGCACCTTTTCACACCTCCCTCCCAAGCAATCACTCTGATTGGCTGTTCACACTACCGCTGCCTGCTGGTAAGGACAGTTATTGCCACTCGTCGACTGAAGTATTTGCGGTGTGTTCGTAGGCGGGCGGCGTAGCAGAAGCAGGCGACGTAGCTGACGTAAAAGTCGGGACGCCTTCGGTACGCGTTCTTTGGTCTCAGGTGGGTGTGTAGCGGCCTTAAGTCTTCTTAACAATGATTACAAGGTGTTTGCAAAAATCCTGAGAGGGATCTGCCTGCAGGCCTCCACTCTCAGGACAGTTCCGGTGTAGGCTCCACTGTCAGGACACCTCCACTCTCAGGACAGGAAGTGACGATTCTGACGAACACGTTTTTTTCCCCGCCCCCCGAAGGACTCGTCTGATGGAAGTTTTCAAATCACAATGGAGACTCATCACGGAGGTGATGAGTCCGCTCACCATGCACTTTGGGTCAGCCTTGGTCAAGCCCTTTTGACCCCCCCAGCCTGGTTCTCGTAAAAGTTGACTTAGCCATTTTTCGCTCAAATTACATCATGGAGGAATGTAACAGGAGTTGACAGGGGACTCTGCCGCCTCACGAGTGCCTATTTTCGGACACTTTTTTTCACTTTTCCCCGGTTTTATAAATTTGTCTTTTTTTGGCTATTTCACCCGGTTCCTTCTACCGGGGACACGTTCCCCCCCTTCATGGAGCGATGGAAACGCTCACAGAGGCCGTTAGCCTGAGGGTGATAAGCGGTTGTCCTGTGAAGCTTAACCCCCAAACCCCTTGCCATGGCGTTCCAGAGCGCGGACGTGAACTGTGAACCCCGGTCCGAGGAAATGTCCGAAGGGGTGCCAAACCGACACACCCACGTCGCAATGAAGGCCCGGGCTATGTCAGCCGCCGATGTCGACACGAGAGGGACCGCCTCCGGCCAACTGGTCGTCCTGTCCACCATGGTAAGGAGGTAGGAAAAGCCCTGAGAGGAGGGCAATGGACCAACCAGATCGATGTTGACGTGGTCAAACCTCCTCTCAGGCACCAGGAAACGCTCCAAGGGGGCCTTCGTGTGGCGGTGCACCTTAGCGCGCTGACAAGCCACGCACTCGCCGGCCCAAGCCCTCACATCCTTTTTGAGTCCCCGCCAGACGAACTTCGCGGCCACCATGCGCACCGAAGGCTTCCCGCCGGGTGCGACAGATCGTGCACCGCCTCGAACACGGAGCGCCTCCAGCTGGCGGGAACGACTGGAGGCCCGTGGATACGTCACACAGGAGAGTAACGCCCGCGTCACCGAAAACCACATCCTCCAGGCGCAGCCCCACGTCAGCCCCCTTCAGGGCCTGGACGCTGGGGTCCGTGACCTGGTCCACCGCCATGCGGGTATAGTCGAGGCCCAACTGGACGGCCCCGATGACGACCCTGAAGAGGCAATCTGCGACCAGGTTCGACTTTCCAGCCACGTGCTGAATGTTTGTGGTGAACTCTGAGATGTAGGAAAGCTGTCGCTGCTGACGAGCAGACCAAGGCTCCGCCACTTTGGACATGGCGAACGTGAGCGGCTTGTGGTCAACGAACGCCGTAAATTCACGGTCTTCCAGCAAAAAACAGAAGTGCCGCACGGCCAGCCAGAGTCCAAGGAGCTCCCGGTCAAAAGCGCTGTACCTGCGTTCCCTGGGCGTCAGCTGGCGGCTGAAAAAGGCAAGTGGCTGCCAAGTGCCCTCCACCCACTGCTCATGCACCGCACCGACGGCGTAGTCCGATGCATCTGTGGTAATGGAGATGGGAGCCGTGGATGACGGATGCGCCAACAGGGCCACCTGAGCCAGCGCGGTCTTGACCTCCTTAAAAGCAACCTCAGCTTCCACCGTCCAGTCGATCTCCTGGATGGGGGCCTTACCCTTCAACGCCTCATACAGCGGCCGCATAATGTGGGCGGCCTGGGCGATCAAACGGTGGTAGAAAGTCACCATCCCCAGGAACTCACGGAGCGACCGGGCCGTGTGCGGGCGAGGAAACGCCGCAACAGCCTCAACCTTCGCCGGCAGGGGTGCTGCCCCGCCCTTGGTGACGCGGTGCCCAAGGAAGTCAATGTCAAACACCCCGAACAGGCACTTTGCAGGGTTGATTATCAGCCCGTGTTGGCTGAGCCTCATGAAAAGGGCTTGAAGGTGGGACAGGTATTCCTCCACCGAAGTGCTGGCGACGAGTATGTCGTCCAGGTAGACGAACACAAATGGTAAGTCCCGCAGCACCGAATCCATCAGGCGCTGGAATGTTTGAGCGGCATTCTTGAGCCCAAAAGGCATCCGCAGGAACTCAAACAACCCAAACGGCGTTATCACTGCCGTTTTGGGAACGTCCAGGGGATGCATGGGCACCTGGTGGTGGTACCACAAAAAACACTCTCCTGTGTCCCCACGCCGGCTTGGAACCGCCGCGGCCTGCTCCCCCCAAGCCCTCCTAACTGGCGAGGGGGCACTGAGTGTCGCAGCCAGCACCTCTGCACCGGGCTGCTGGGTCGCCAGGAAAAAACGGTCGGCCTCCTCAGCCAAGGCGCGGGGTTCAGTAATGGACGTGTTGGCTAGTGCCGTCTGAACCCGGGGCGGCAGGCAGGCTCTGTTTTGCCAAGGTCCTCTGGCGCTTGCGGGCCGCCGAGGGGTGGCGGTGTTTTGGGCAACGAAGACGGCTGCGGCTGCTCCGCCTCCGTGGGCGAGGCGGGGCAATGCCGGCGAGTCGGGCGGGAGGACGTTAGTGTCCACGACAGTGGCCGCGGGTAACGTAATGTCCCCATGATCTGAACTGTTATTACCTGCAGTAGATGCAGTGTTACTGCTGGCGATAAGGGCTGGTTGTCTTAACCATTTTCTGATGTCCATCATTGACTGCTGTGTAAGCACCTTGCAGATGACGAACGCGCAGTGGCACAGGTCACGCGCACCTGACATAATAACGTTACTTACCGTTTAAATTGACCAAATAAATGCAGCAGACAATGTTATTTAACCACAATTACAATTTATTTTATTTCAACTATATTCTTCCTCTTATTATTATTATTACTACTATTATTATTATTGTTATTATATATGTAATATTTTTCACTTTTCATTTTTCAAATGAGGGTGCATAACGACTCAACTGAGGGTGCACCCTTATGCACCCCCGTAGAACCGGGCCTGCCTCAAATAAGCAATTTCTAACAACTACAGAAGGACTTTTTACTGATATTTTGCATTCGAAAAAGGTGGGTTTTCAGTCTGCGATGGAGGATGTGAACATCTTCTGCTGTGCTGATACTTGGAGAGCTTGTTCTACTATTGGCACAGTATGCCAGTAACAGTGTGTTGAGTCTCCACTGGTGAATCAAGCTATTTCCTTTTCTGCTTCAATTAAACAGGCAGATTAAGGCATCAGGCATATGCAAGATAGGCGTTATTCCATCCAAGTTACTACCTTGTTGTACCTGTTGGACATTTAAAAACAGTTTTACCAGTGAGATCATCCAAGATAACAGCCAAGTTATTGCGGTAGAATTCAACTAGAAATTGTTTAATTTCACAAACTAGTATGAGTGAACCTGCAGATCAGTTTTGTGGCTATGCAAAACAAATGACAAGCGTTCACTCATAACATTTTCATTATTTATTGACTGGAATTCAAATATATATATTAAAAAACAAATAATAGTTATTAAATTACACATGTATGTATACAAATCAGACAACAGTTATATGATTAATGTAAATCTGATGTAAGTGCTTATAATTTGCTGGGCCGTGTGACTGGCTTCACTCTCAGGACCCCCTCCTGGGAGCTGGGCCGTGTGACTGGCTTCACTCTCAGGACCCCCTCCTGGGAGCACGAGGCAGCGAGGACCCCGTCCCTCCTCCACAGCCGGCCCTGCACCAATCCCCTGCTGCCGCCTGCAGGAAACAACACACATGCTCAAGATTCAAGGCTTTTATTGTCATTTGTACATAGCTACAGTGTAGATCTGTCAATTAAAATCTTAGGTCACAGGCTGGGACACTCGATCTGGAGTTATGCTATACTGCACATATAACGGTACACTCTTATCGTACTTACTTTTTGTGTATATTTTGTTATAGTGGCTTGAAATAGTTATACATTTCCTCCTATTTTTTAAAGAAATGAATTCCCTTCACTGTATTTATGAATTCGAAATTTTACATCAAAGCAAATTCTTTGTAAGGGTTTAAAATACATTAGCATTTGTTTCCATTACTTGAAGCTGTAATGTTTATGTTTGTTGAGCAAATCATGAAACTGTAAGTGAATAAAATCTGGATCCAATCAAATTAAACTCAGTAGAACTATCTCCAGGTCATAGGTCATAAAGTTCCTATAGCGATAAAGATCAGAATGTGTGTTGTTCTGACCGAAAGCCCAATAGGGGTTCCTGACACACTCACCTGCCCACGGGCTCTCACACTCGTACAGCATCCACTCGTCACTGCGGAAGGTGCTGTGGAACCACATGGCGTGATCCAGCGAGGCGGCAAACTGAGCTCTGTAGCCGGGGTACGGAAGCAGAGCGGTGCCCAGGAACGCAAAGTCTGACACGTAGGCAGCAACGCAGCAGTGCAGCTTCATGTTGCCCTCACCTGCAACAATACACAGGAGTATTAGTGAGCCCGTTTAAAAAAATAGCCCTTTGCTTGTGATCAACAGGTCATATATTTACTAAGAAGGCCTTTTGTCATAAACCTAAAACTCAACTTGTGGAATTTGATCCTGGCATGCTTGACCACTGTTTTTGTATAACAGGAGTAAACAGAGCTAAGTGACATCTTTTTTTTAAATAAAATAATTGTGGTACATCTCATTTCTGCCTATGTGAAGAGTGCATGTGACTTAAGAAATGTGTCATCCAAATATTCATAACCGACAATGTTAGGTATTAAAAGTATTACAACTGAATTTGATGTGGTGTAAATGTTTAAGCACATCCGCGACCTTTGGGATAAACTGCTAGTGGTGTACTGTATATATGCTATTCAATATGTGTGATGCAAATGTGCACTTACTTTGTATCTTGGCCATCAAACCAAACCCAGAACCACAAAAAAAACTTTGCACATCACTTGGTTTTGGCTTATTTAAGACGTAAAGTATGTCTGCATGTTTCTGGTTCTGAGTTTGTGTCTTGATGGTTTATAGCCCTTATTGTAAGTCGCTTTGGATAAAAGTGTCAACTGAATGAATTGTAATATAAAATGTAAGCCCTTTTACCAATATATCCTCGTGCTCGCACCCAGAACAGGTTCTTCGGCTCGCTCGCAGTGAGTTTGTAAAAGACCGGGGGGTTGACCGGCTTTATCTCGATGGGGACCTCGTTGGCCAGCAGTTTGTTCAGGCCTAGTTTATATTTCTCGGCCAGGTCTGGTTTACTGTGAGACAACAGAAAGAAAAGCAGATAATTAAATAACAAATAAATAGTTTTCTGTTACCGTTGTTGGAGCTATTGATTGATTTGTATGTCTTAATATATTCAGAGTCTTGGTTTATATTCAATGTATAATTATTTATTGCAATTACTTTAGTTAATTTAAAGTAATTGTTTATGCCTTTGTTTTGAAGGCAGTACCTGGTGATCCAATCCAATCCAATTGTATTTAAATAGCACATTTAAAAACACCAGAGTTGACCAAAGTGCTGTACATCAATAAATATATAAAAAGCAGCATCAATATATTTAGATAAACCTGATAGAACAAAAACAAACAGATTTAAAAGCACGAGAGAATAAAACCATACTTATAGCCACAGACTGAAAAACTATAAGGAAAGGCTGCAAGACAAGAATATATAGGAAATGTACCTTTGATGATATTGGATCACGGAAATAAATGTATGGAAATTATACTCTTGCCTGGACTTTGACTAATTTCCCCTGCGTAGGATTAGCTAACTGGTGCTTCAGCTGCAGTTTTATTGATTCAATTGGATTTCTTTAGGATTTTCGCCGCTACCACCGTGCTTATCTTAGCATTTGTCAGAAAAATATCACTCGTCACCAGCTTGAGCTTAGTCATCACATACAGAGCATTTGGTACAACTAGTTCCTGAACAGTGTCCTTCACATGCTGATATCCAAGAGAGGGAGTTACACAGTCACAAGATGGAGGAATAGAAAGCAGTATTCAATGTTTACTTCAGATTAGCTCCACGTCAGAAATGATCATGCTTGTCATATGTCTATCTCCATAGAGGCTGAATCATCATGTTAATCACATAGCTATCATATGCCTAAAACAGTCCTGATGCTCTTCTAGGTAATCATACATCCTGTCATGTACACAGCTACAGTTGGGATACCTTTGTTATCATGTGGACTCTGATATTGGAAGAGTACATTGAGTAATTGAGACAGCATCTTTACCTGAGATAGAGGCGGATGAGCTCCTCCACGGTGAGGAGGTCTTCAGGTGGAGGGACCACAGGCATGGTGAACTGGTGCTGCAGGGGGCTGGGCTGCAGCATCTGGAAGGAGGCCTGGCAGATGAGGATGGGCTGCCCGTGCTGGATGGCCCTGACGGAGCGCACCGTGAAGCTGCGTCCGTCTCTGATGCGGTCCACCTGGTACAGCACGGGCACCTTAGGGTCTCCTGAAACACACCCAGATACAACTGTAAGGAGACTGCTGATTTAATTGTATTATGTGCAATATGTGAAATATATATATATATATATGCCGTTAATAGCAGTGAAATATATATCTGGCTGCTAAATCCTCAGAACTGTTACAGGATGTGTATTTTGTAAATTGTGTAATTTGTATTTTTTATCAATATACATTTTACATAATTTGCAGGATTTATGAGCCCCCTTTCATATATTCGGTCAGGTTATTGCTGGTCATTAAAACAATGCTTCATTTTACCTGCCCGTACAAAGTAGCAGTGGAGGGAATGGGCGTAGAGATTATCGCTGACTGATTTGGCAGCAGCTACGAGGGCCTGACCGATGATCTGACCCCCAAACAGACGCTGACTGCGGGGAACCCAGTGGTGCGTCCCTCTGGGGAGAAATAGAGAAGAATTTGAAATGTATGTAACATAGTCTCTAACTAGATGGTGCTGATGTAGATTTCACGTTGAGGGTGATCAATATATTAAGACTGTATTTTCACTTAGCGTTATGAAGTATACAATGACTGAATAATGTAATGCCATAACTATCCTTCAAAAATGTGTAAAAAAGGAACTTTACACATCTCTAGTGTAGGTGGAACTTATGGGATTCACTTTCTTTAATCAAAAGTACAGAACTTTACCACAAAAGACACTTTAAGTACAAAGTGAGTTATAGGATGGTTGATATGGATAAAATAAAATATCATTATATTTCTTATTACAATATCATTGCATTGTGCCAAATGCAAATCATGTGCCACATCATTTGTTTAAGGAAATATATACATCAACTGAACTGTAAGTATGCCACATTTATGGATATTGGATAGAGGGCAGTTTCCTATATTGTGCAAACGTCACAACAATCATCATATGGAAAATAAAAGTGTGTTTAATTACAATAAACACCTGTCTTCGGCTATTTGTGACACATCCACATTGGGCTGGTTTAAGTGGTATAATGTAGTGAAGTACATTTACTCAAGTACTTATGCTACTTTATACTTCTACTTTTACGTGTTACTCTACTACCAAAACGAGTTACTAGTTAGATTGCATATACATAAGCTATGATGTAGGTAAAGATATTGAGCAGCAGCATACAAAGTGATACATTAGCACTACCTTTACTGGTCAGCTGTGATGAATACATGAATGCATGAGTATTAATAATCCAGTCATTGAATATATGATCCTGAAATATGGGACATTACGCACAAAAGATATTGAAGTGACTGTTATTTTGTATATTGATTGTTGTGCTTTTATTTACGTCTTAATGTGTGCATATGTATAAATGTGTCTGTTGATTGTGATATATAGGTAGGCTATATATACATATTTTATATATATATTTTTTATATTCGGGATTGTGGGAAACGGTATTTCGATCTCTCTGTCTGTACACACAAACTGAAAGATTGACAATAAAGTTGACTTTGACTTTGACAATAAGTGCTTTCACTTTTGACGCACTTAGATATCCAGGGTTTCCCTAAGTAGAAATTAGACCTTGAACGTTGACGTTAGCGCTGTATGAATGTAGGAAAGTGGTAATAACGAAAATCTCAGTAGGATATGAATCATATGAATGCATCACTTTCGTGTAATGTCAAACTTCACATCTACCTGTACAGGTCCACGTCCAGCTCTTCCAGGTTCAACACGCTGGTGACCAGGACGCTTTTGAGGTCCTGGTCCTTCTGGGCCTCAGGTCTCTCCGGGTCTCCATCCTCTGATTTCAGGTGCAGAGTTTCCCCTGGATGATCATCACTTGTTGTTGAAGCGCTGGAGTCACCCACTTCTCTCTCTGCCATGTTTCTCTTCTTCTTATATGTTTCTCATGGTGCGTATCAAACTGCTTTTGGGTGCATTTACTGCCACCTTCTGGAATGGAGTGTTGATTTGCACGGCATTTCCCTAAAATGCATTTATAACTTCAGCAAGATGTGTTCAATGTAGTCCAGTAAAATGCAGTCTTTAGCGAGAAATATCAATAAATACAGTTGTATTAATGAGATGTTTTACCACAATATGAAGTACATATTAGACAGTATGCAAACGAGATAAAGGAGTGTATATTGAAGTAATTAGGATCAGCTGTGTAGAGAATCATGGAATTTTACTGGTATCTACCAATGCCATCCTTATAAATGTATATACATACAATACCGTTTTAAATGATACTTATGTTTTAATTATGTTTCATTCCATTAATTGAATTAAAGATGTTTTAATGAATTCTACTGAAATGATTGTTACATTTTCATCATGTAACTATTTTGTTCTTTTATTTGCCTCACCACAAAACAGTCACACCTCCTCTTGAAGACATTTTGCCTCCTGCTATGGACTTCAGGTTCACATTAGGTAAGCCCTTGAGTGTGTCAGAGTTGTTGTTTCAGAGGTTAATTCAAGACGTGTTATGTTTACATACTAATATAATGAGCATCAGGTAAACGTACCCATTTCTATTTTTTGAATCACAGATGCGATGGAGATGTAAACTATGCAGCACTAGTGTCACCACTCAAAGTGATATTTTAAAACATTATCGACTCCATCATGGAACCTTTGGACAGAAACGTGCATTCATGTAGACTGGCTTGCGCTCTCACCTATCAAGATAAAAGTTGAAATAATCGTCTGTTCTATTTATTCTAGGACCCATGTGCCACTTTATATACATCTCTGAGCATGAGGTGGGGTTAAAAATAAGTAGTTGGACATTTTATGAACTATATCATTATCATGACTTAGTGGTTAATTTTCTTGCAAACCAGCCTTTTTTTTGATGGCTTAAACCCCTTGTAATGCATGTGAATAGCACCTCTGTTACCGTCTGTTAACAGCTAATGTAAACTGGCTCGTTATGTTTTCAAGACGGATTTGATTTTTGTTTTGAGGAAAACACATGGTGTGTCCTGATTTGTAATCAATTTAGTGTTTTGTTTGTATTTACAGGGAACAGCAGAGGTCGAAGTGCAACAGGCTCGTGGTGCACGGCATGAAGTGATACATTACCCAAGAGCCAGATGCAGTTATAACCATCAAGTAATAACCATGTGTCTCCATGTTAATGTGTTGTGCTTTTAAACAAATTGTTACTGTTTTATGAAAACTGTTTTGAAATAATCCAATTTTAATCAAATGTATTAACATGTCTATAACGTTCCCTTTTTAAATTTATTTGTTTAATCTGCAATGTTTCAATGCTGTCAAATATTTAAAGGGTTGGATTGAAATCAGGAAGAGTTTGTCGTATAGGTTCCGGCAACTCAATTGTGTTTTATAATTTACTTTATGTATTCTTGTTTTATGTGGATCTTAGCAGATTGTTATTTGCATTGGTTACACTTCATATCTTGGCTTTTAATTGTAGGCTCAACTCATCTTTTCACATGCAGAAAAAATCACATCAGTGAGTTTACCCAACTCCTATAATTGCTTGGAAACTGTTGACACATTGTTTTTAAGTTTTAGCAAAGTAACACGTTCTTGAGTAGAGGAAAACTAAAAAAGTAAGTTACACCAACTCAAAAAATGCAAAAGTTGACTAAACTCTTAAAATTGCTTGGAAACTGTTGACACATTTTTTTTAATTTTTACCAAAGCAACAGTTGTTACAGTGTAGAGTGTTGGCTGTAGGTGCCTTCATTCATCTTCAGTCCTCCTCTCCTCCTCCTCCTCTTCCTCGCCCTCCTCCTCCTCTCCTCGTCCTCCTCCTCCTCCTCCTCCTCCTCGTCCTCCTCCTCCTCGTCCTCGTCCTCCTCGTCCTCCTCCTCCTCCTCGTCCTCCTCGTCCTGAAGACTGTGGGAAAAACAATGGGAAGTTTAGAATGACTTGATAGCACTGATCTTGGTCACTGGTATAACAACCATTGAATCCAGTTAAATGATAATGAATAGTTTTGGATCACAGATTCAAAAACACATACATGCAAACATAAATGCTTACAGTAACTTTTAAAATGCAATAGAGCTGGAGTTTTCCACCACATGACAAGCCTGATAAGCGACAAAATAAAAACTGTGTACTAGTCATCATTTAATACATTTGATTAAAGCAGTAAAATGCAACATGTGCAACAGTACATTTAAAGATTTACCTGGCTGGAGTTGCAGCATCGTCATTCTCATATCGGGCAGATTGGAAAGGTCTCACAGAGCTACAGTACAACAGTGGCATATTAACACATTAGATAGGTTGAGCCAGGATCATATTTATCAGAATATAACTAAAGCAGGTCCACACATTGACAGTTAAAGCATATCAACATGGGGAAAGCAGCCATCATATAAGTACATATTTCACTTTCCTGGTGCCATGGTCTGTGACAGAGACATATATTTTGAGAGAGTGCCAAAGAACTAAGTGTTTAGCTTCAATTGCCAAAATAGATGACATAAAAAACAAGCTAAGACTCTTGGTACAGATATAACAACATTTTAACAACAACAACATTAAGTACATTACAAAGTACATTTTAGTCCTCTGTAAGCATCTGAATTGCCTTGCTTTGACGTGCCTAACCTGTGATTGCCTTGTCTTTCATCAGAAGCTGTAATTTCTAAGACGTCCTGTCCAGAGGAAATAGGAAATTCTTCATCTTCATTGTCCGTGCACTGGGTGGGAAGCTGCAGTATCATCAAGAATGTTGCATTAATTAAATGTATAATATTACAACCATACTATGACACTAATATAAGCTGTACCGATTCAACAGTTAATTAACTGTTAAAAGCAATCCACATGTCCGCGATATACTAGCATGCTAATGTTTCAAAAGAGAAGACGTTCACCATAAAGTCAAGTCACCAAGTCAACCCCCATCTCAATACAAACAGCAACCTCCCAAAATGCACCACTTCCACATAATTTACCAAATAGTGGTAAAGATATGATCATTTAAGCTTACATAAATGTTTTGTTTTTCAAATTTTACCTCGTCGGAAGCCGCCATGTTTTTACTTCCGTCTTCTATTCGTCAGATTTTGCACGTGGTTTCATTGGTTCAATGAAAATCTGGACCAAGGGTTCACCAAAATCTGACGAGGGCTATTCAATTGGCGGGCCGCGGGTCAAATCCGGCCCCGGGGTGATATTTACTGGCCCTTTGAGTATAATGTTAAAAAGTAATCTACTTGTTTTTTAAAGATTTGTTTTTGGGCCAGAGTGCCTTTATTCCAGAGATGGTGTTCAATTGAGATAGAGGGGAAGACAATGCCTGAAAACTTCGGCGGGCTCGGGTTTCGAACCCAACTAGCTACTGTAGTGTATTGCATCTCTGCGTGAATGATTAGATAATCTCACCTAAATCAAATGAAATGATGTTGATGGTTAAATTAGCTTCACATGTAGGCCTACTGAGTTCTGAACTTGACATTTAGATCTATAAAGGCCTTGGGGCTATGTTGTTTGATTTAATTAAACACAATATATGCACTCCACTATGCTGTTGTAGTATTTACTGTATCTGAAGCTCTTAATTATGATTGCTCATATTTCAAGCCATCTTTTTCCCAGCCCCTTGCTTTGGATAATTTCCAAACTAATTGAATAGCCCTGATGTACAGTATGCTGATGATACATGATTCAACATGTTTCATAAACAAAGTACATAACACAATACTTAACATTCAATCATAATACCTTTTTTCTTGAGACTCTTATCCAGAACTTGGGTTACTGACTTGTCCTCTGGAAAAGTTGGAATTAAAAAAAAACATAAACAGGTAATCCATCCTTGTCTGTTTGGTTTCGAGATTAAATATCTTCGAAAGACATTTGTATTAAATAAACCGTCCAATAGAATGTCACAGAAGAAGATCAACTGCTTGCCTATAGTGAACAAGTATGGTCGTACTTCTCGAGAATAATGCAGAGATGAGCCCTTTGGTGATCACCCAACTCTCTACATCGAAACACAAGCAAATAATTTGACTACAGGAGGAAACATCTTTGCCTTTATGGAAATCTCTTATATGTGGACATATGTGGAGATGTTGTGTCCTCTGTTGAAGTCACACTTCCTGTCCAGCCAGTCCTTAAGTAAGGTACAATGTTTGGAGAACGACAAGCAAAAGCTTTGTATCTAAACTAGTAAAAGTGAATGTTACTAAACACTTTTTTTAATGTTGTAATAATTGAGCAACACACACAAAAGTCTGATCATTGAGAAAGAAGCAACAAGAACTGCAAACAAAAACCTATGTTAAAACCAAGAAAAAAGTTTTATTTTTTAAATTAAATTTATTTTGCTTGACTCAGTCTTTTTTTCTCTTAAACTCTTAGTTTTGCTTGATTCTGAGAAAGTGTTGCTTTGTCTTTATGACACAAAACTAATCCCATATATATGTACCTACCTTGAAGTAAATGTTTTGTGTGTGTATAACATGTGTGTTGTACTTATATACACAGTTTGGGTTTCTTCCTCTCCATAACGAACAATTTGCACAACAGCTACTTAGCAAAACTCTAATTTATGTAATTTCTATATATGTTTCTGCTACTTTTATTATATGTATATTTATGTTGCTGTAGGTCTTTTATATAAGATTCTAATTAATCCAGAATAATTTATAATGTGTATTCTTTGGGATATATGTGATTTTTACTGTAGTGAGAAAAAAGTGTGTGCAATAACGACCTCCTACCTACAGGGGCGCTGCTCTACACCATGTGACCTCTTTTTAACAGTGAACCACTACACGCGGAAGAAACCCGCCATTAAAGCAAAGCTAACCTCCAACGTGAGAGTTTCGTTGTTGTGCACTCTACTTAAAAGTGCAATTTTTTTACATATACCTAACACTGGTATATTCTTGGAAGGATGGCGTACAGGGGACAAGGACAGAAGGTCCAGAAGGTTATGGTCCAGCCCATTGTATCCTTTTGGTTTCCGTTTAATTGTTTGTTACAGTAAGTTAGCAGCTAGGCTAACCGTTCTTATTAGCATGAAGCTAGTCATTCATCTCCAGTTTTAACCGAGCTGTAGGGTGTGATAGAAACGTATAAGAACTATGATATGTGTCTTCATTTTAAAATGCTTTTGCTATCAGTTCTGGTTCATTGAAACGACCGGTGTGTCCACTTTGTTAGCATGACCCGCTAAACGGCAGTCAACAATGTTGGAAATGTTAGCTTACTTTCACAAAGGGGAAGAAGTACTCATATCTTGTACTTAGGTAAAAGTAGAAATACCAACATGTAGGAATACTCTGTTAAAACTAAAAGTCGTGCATTTCAAATGTTACTCGAGTGAAGTACAGCATCTAAATATACTATAATTATGCAGATTGGCTCATTTTAGAATAATATCAATTGTGTTTTGATTATAATTATGTATGTATTAATGTGTTTAACACAGCTGATAAAGGTGGAGATCATTTTTAATTACTTTGTATGCTGCATGGTAGCTTGTGGATTGTTGTAACTAAAGTCTAATTTAAGAGTTGATTATCTTTCACATTAATAATCCAAATCTGCGAAGTAACTAAAGGTTTGAAATACATGTAGTGGAGTAAATGTACACCACTCACATCTGAATTGAAGTGGGCCAAAAGTACAGAGTAGCAAACGCTTGTAATACTCAATTAAAGAATTACAACATTGTACTAATGTATAGTACTTAGTTACTTTACAGTCACCATTGCTTTTACATCACACCATCCCCGATTATAATCTAATGTAGTTTTTAATTAAATTGCTGATCACATTGCTAGTTCGATATCTGTCTAATCTTATTTTTACATTGACTTGTATAACCTATAGTTGTTCTTAAGTTGACTTTAAGCATTGAAAGGTATGTAATGCCACCAGGCAATAATACCATTTATGTTAGCCAGTTATTGTTCAGTGCAACAAAGGGACAATAGTTGCCTTGCATCAATGTTTGTATCTGCTTCACACCTTTTATTTTCCTTGACTCCAAGTGTCAGAACCTCATTTTTAGGTACCTTCAAAATGTAAGTATTTCATTTAAATAATCTTCCATAGTTTGATTACTGATTTTATTTATAATTGTTTGACTACATTGAATTAAATGTGTTCTTCTCATTCTCAGCGCTCACGGATCCAGGTGTGGTTGTACGAACAGGTGAACATGCGGATAGAGGGCTGCATTATTGTAAGTTATCTTTCTGCTCCTGACTGTTTTATTGAATTTGAACACCACATTAGTGATTGATCTCACACAGTCATCAGAATTCCTTTATTAGTCCCACAGAGGGGAAATGTACATTGTAACAGCAGAAAAGAGCCAAAGACGGCTTCATGTTACCTAAGAAGCATGCATACAAAAAAGTTATAGTAAAAAAAGTTGCACAATTTACCAAAAAAAAACACATCTGAGGATTCAGCAGCCAGGTATATATTGCACAGTTATTAACGGCATATATATATATATTGCACATAGTTTCATTTCATTAACATGGGGCAAATAGACATTGTATGGTAATCATTGAATAGGTTTAGTAAGTTGGCTGATTGGTCTGAAGAAGATTCTAAGACCACATCTGCACTAGGGCTGTACCCGAATATTCGTTCGTTGGAGTACTATTCGGGTTTCAATTTCGTTATTCGTTTTTTTTTGGCAGCCGTGCTGCACTGCGGCTGCCAAATTGAATTTATTTATTATTTATATCTCCAATATCAACGTAAGAGCTTGTGCCTCTTCGGGGGGTGCTAACACTTAACCATAAACTTTATTGTTTACTTTCTCCGTCTTTATATGTAGATATGACTTTTTCTCCGTTAATCTCCGTCAAGTTGTTTCCATAGCAACAACAATTTCCTGTCAACAGCGCTAACTCTCCTTCAAAATAAAAGCATGTCCATACAAAATAGGAAGCCAAGCCAAATTACACTTAAAGGTGGGGTAGGTAAGTTTGAGAAACCGGCTCGAGAAACACTTTTTGTTATATTCCATGGAATGCTCTTAACATCCCGATAGCAATGAATATCTGAAGTGCTTTGACAAAAAATCCATACAAAAATGTCATCTGTGGAAGCCGTAGCGCTGTAAAAAGTACGACCAATCATCTGAGCCGGCCCGGCTAAAATAACTGGATGGCCTACCTGCCTGTCAGCCTTCCATCTGTGCACAAACTTATCTCGTGCCCTCATTGGTCATGTGCGCGTTCGTGTGTGTTGGAGGAGGCGCTCTGTGAGGAAGTGGCAGATTTTTTCTGGCTGTGTATTTTCAAATTCTAGCGCACTCAAGCTGGTTTCTCCAAAATTACCTACCCCACCTTTAAGACATATACAACTGCAACGAAAGTAACAAACACAATGCAATATCCTTTTCAATTTCAAAGAACACAAATTGGGTTATGTAAATTAACAAATAACTATAAAACAACAATACTGTAGAATAACAAAATGAATGCCGTGAATAAACCGAAATACACGTGTTGAAGCGGTTCACTGCTGATTACTACGCCCGCCCCCGCACGGGCCGAATATTCGCTGCTGATTACTACCGAATATCCGGAGCCCGAAAAATAGTATTCGGGACAGCCCTAGTCTGCACTAAAGTGGATAGATTGGAATATGCAGTTTAAATGTGCTAAAAGACTCGATGGACCCACAGTGTTCCCCACAGGATTTTGTCATATTATGGTGGGTGGACTCTGGAGGTGTTTCAGAGTGTGTAAGAATGCTTGGTACATTTTACATTTATATCAATCTTGATTACATTGAAAACTAAATGATATGTTCAAATCTCTATACAAATGTTTGAGTAAGAATGTCTTCTTGTAGCAATTTCTGGTTAATTACTTATTCTCTATAATCAATTTATTTGTAAACTCGAGTCCACTGCCCCAACCCTCACACAGACATACACATGCAGATAAACTGTCTGCATTTAACTTTGCACAGATCCCTATCTTCTGTACATTGAATTACATTCTGTGTTTAGTATTTATATGTGTAGTTCCTTGAATATTGTTTTAAAATAGAAGGTGAATTCATAATTTCATGTACAGGGCACTTGGAATTCGACAATAAATGATACAAATTGTACTTGAATGTTTAATAACTAAAAGAAACACTCAAAAATTATGGTTAACGAGACAGGCTATGTGCTTTTTTTAAACATTGCCGCAGACCACCAAAGCGAAGACAACACTGACAATAGCTGCGCACCAAAAACTGTGGAAATGATTATTGTAAATGTACATCATGACAGATAGGCTATCATTACAAGATGCACCCGTGGACTGAAGTGCATATGCAGAGAAAGTGAAGAGCTATTATGCAAAATGTATTAAAACTCAAACATTTCCGTACATTTACTCTCTTTTATGACATAACTGAATTAATGTTTGAATCATTTTGGGATCCCCTAATACGTTTTAAACTGATATATTTTTTACTTCGTATGAATGTATATCTTCTGCTGCGGTCGGCCATCAGAACTTTGCTTTGTTTTTACTCGGAGGTCTATGATAATGAATGAAATCTGTCCAATACTGAGCGACATACAAATGGCTTGTAATGTAATTGGTAATTGAATTTTTGGCCTCACTGTCCTCTCTCTTTTAGGGTTTTGATGAGTACATGAACCTGGTTCTGGATGATGCCGAGGAGGTCCACATGAAGACTAAGAACAGGAAGCCGCTGGGTAAGAGTAGAAAACATGTTGTTGAAAAATACCTTTTTCCCCAAGACCTTTTTGCATGTGGTACAGCGAAAGCACAGGCATACTTATGGCGCATTTCCACTGCAGCGCGTAGCACAGTTTGAGCGTGCCGTGCCCGGCCCGCTTTTTGTTGCGTTTCCACTAGGCGTAGTTCCGGCTAACGGGTACTTTTTCACAGTTTTCTGGCTCTCCAAAATCGAGGTTCTTTCCGGGCCAACAACCGGGCTGAATATGCTAAACTAGAGAGAGAATCGCTGGCAAGGGGGCTACAACTACAACAAAATGAACATATTTGACCGTGATTTAAAAATACACGTTTCAAAATGATGCCGAAGTAACAACATACTGATACCGGTTAGTAAAAACCATGAATTAATGCTTTGTCAAGTCTGCAGACAGACGGCAGGCGAAAAACCTTTTAAAATGCTTGTTTTCTAAATGGAGATCGGCTAAGCTAACGTTGTATATGTTCCGACCGTCCACACTCACAACAACGGCCTATACAGACATAAATAAAGCAGCGACTGTATTCGCCATGACACAGAGAGTCTGTGGTTTGTACTTGTTTAACTTTTGTCTAGTTTCTGAACATATATGAGGAGCTGTGAGCTCTGAGTGCTAACAGCTGATGTTGGTTTTGTGTTTCGCATTGAAGATGACGCCTACACTGCGTTACTATAGAGTGGCGAAGTCACGCCCATCTACTTCCGCCCCATGGGACCTTATTTCGGAAAAATAATGTATTGAAGTCAATGGGGAGAGAAAACTTATCTTTCGATCCCGTTTGAATTGTGCCATGAATTACACATATGATGTTTGTCAATCTTAAATAATAATTTCCATGTCAAAAAAGTCACAGTTTGTCGTAAAACTGTTGAAATATAAAACTATGAAAAATACGCAACTAGAAAGACTACAAATCCCAGAGTCACGTAAGTGATGTCACAATTGTTTTCCTCCACTAAGAGATAGCTAAGATCAGCGCAATATAGATATAATCTATCTATATGGCGCTGGCTAAGATAAGATAACTTTAACAAGATGCCTGTGTGCTTAGTACCAGGTTGTTATTATACCAGCAATGGGTCTTGCTTGTTCTTTTGCTTCCCGTCTGATGAAAGGACCAGGAGTGGCTTGATCAAGTTAGCTACCTAGCTAGTAGCTAGCACGTTAGTTAGCATTACCGCCTTGTCATTTTTATTAGCCTTAACATGAAGTAACATTAAGTAACCCAAAATGTTAAACAGTAAGAGTAGTAGTCATATTTCGTGAACCCTTTGAAGAGTACTGTCACACCGGTGTGATCATTCTATAATACACCATTTAAGCCCGGGGGAGAAATGCTAACGCTAACGTTAGCATCGGCGATCTTCTCTACTTCATGCTATCTGCACAAATGGTTGACATTAAACATTAAAACGACCAGGCAGTTCAGAGAGAATCAAAGGAAGGCAGGCAGGCAGCTTTGCATGACATTCTTCAGGACGTGTTTCATTGTGGTGATAGTGAGGGCAGAGTTCCCGTTAGAATATTTTTTTGCCGGTCAACATGTCCGTTAAAGTTGAAATCTTCCGGACAAAATTAGATAAGTGCCGGTTAAAGGTCTTCTTTGTTATTTATTGAGCTTTAAAACAAATTGATATGATTCGACATTAAACAAACTAATTATAGTAGATTAACTACATTATTCAAAAGTGTACAGTAATTTACAAAAACGCGGGAATAATAAACGGAGCGCTCTCTCCTTCTCCTGACAGCCCGTCAGTATCATGCAGCTCGCGGATCCAGTAATGAGTGACCCGACAGTAAAACTAAACATATCTATAACTAGTTTAGGTAGTTTGAGAGGTAATTAAAATAGCTACGTGTGATTTTCTAACCTGAAGTGTGTTTTGCTCTGCTCGCCGCTGCAGGGGATCATGCAGAGCTGCGTGTCGACTCGTCAGCAGCAGCTGATCTTTCTCTCCTGTCAGATTAGACTTTACTCGCATTTATGTCCATATCGATCAGATCTAGCTAGTTCTAGCTAATGATATGACTACCTGCTTGTTAAAAGACACCTAAACAATAAGCGTCGCTATGCAACCGGATGAGGCCACAAAGTATAGCGCAGCATTATGCATTTGTTTACATGCCCACCGGAACCCCGAGGCATTACCAACAGATCAACGCACAATCAACCCATACAGGACATCTCTTTCTCCACATTAAGTGTTAGACATTAGAATTGACAATTTTTGTCTGTCACATACTCTTTTGTCTGTCACATACTATTCTTGTCTGTCACATAAGTGGCGCAACTGATGCGGTATTGCGCTAAGGGAAAATTATTTTGACCGGACATTTTGACCGGAGAGATTTAGATTTGCCGGACTTCAGCATATTTTACCGGTCATTGTCCGGTAATTACCGGCTAACGGGAACTCTGAGTGAGGGTAGTCAATCGTTTTGTTGACAAGACAGTAGTGACGGCCATCTTGGTGACGTGTGTTGTTGACCAGAGATGTAGTTCATTGAGCGTTTCACACAAACAAATGTGTTACTTCACAGTTTTACGACACATTTTTTTTTTTTTGACTTGCAAAATTATCTTTTAAATTGACAAACATCATATGTGTAATTCGTGGCACAATTCAAACGGGATCGAAAGATAATCTTTCTCTCTCTCCATTGACTTCAATACATAATTTTTCCGAAATAAGGTCCCATGGAGGTCCACCGGAAGGGGAGGGACTTCGCCACTCTATAGTTACTACCCCAGTTCCTAAACTGTAATGGAAATGCAGCATAAAGTGAGCCTGGCCTAACTATACCGTACTAAGCCGTGCGAGGCCCTGCAGTGGAAAAGCGCCATTAGTGTGTTAGTAAAGTGACATATCTCTTTCCGTCCATCATCTGTCTCTCCTGACTCGTCTCCACTTGTGTTTCTGTCTCCCAGGGAGGATCATGTTGAAAGGAGACAACATCACCTTACTGCAGAGTGTGACCGTCTAGGAAAACGGAGAGGCCTACACATCGTACCTTTCGATAGAAATGTTTTCCTTTTTTTTGCAAATGGTGTTGATGTTTGTGTTTGTTTAACATGAATATTGTGTTAGTTTCTGTCTACAAAATGGTTTTGAGAATAAACTTTTTCTTTTCTTAGTTTGCTTCTCAATTCATTGAACTGGTTTGCATGAGTTTTGATCAGTGAGCTACTGTGCCATCTAGTGGCAGATAAGATTATTGTGTATTTTAAGTAGGTCAAAACTCCCAGCTCCAAATGAAGCACAACAGGAAAACCATTCAAAACATTATTTTAAGGTGTCTTAAAAAGCCATTTTGTTTTGTAGGGGGATATTTCTTTCTTCTGTTGTGTATATTTGAGGAGGGGATTAGTAATGGACATTTCGGGCCAGGGAAAACTAGTTAAACATTAGTGCATAATAGCAGATTGAATCAAATACACAATAACTTGCAATGCACGAATCATGCACATCCTTATACTTTATACAAGCACCATGTCATATATGTATATGCATATGTACCTTATTTGCCTATAATCGATATATTTTAGGATAAATATAATAGTTCACAACGTGGGTTTCAAAACATTTTGATGCTTGGTTGTTTTTTTATTTTTCGCCCTAGTTTAGAGAAAATAAGTCATAAATTGTTGTAACATTAATCAACGTGATGACGTAGTTCATCCCTAGGCACGCAACGTGCCCCTGTACTGTTGACTGGGAAGCCCCTAGCGCGGAGCTGCCAACGCCCGGCGTAGAGACACAAATAGAAGATACGGTAAGGAAAAATGTACTTATTCTGTTATGAAGCTATAACTATGGTTAGTTTTTAACCCACAGTTAGTTTACGTTATGCTGTACATCTGTTGTACATGGATTGTTATTGTCAAATTGCATTTCTCATTCAGCTACAGCATCCGCTAAGGTTAGCTTAGCCAGAAAGCTTATTTAGAGGGACTGTATTTAGCTAAGAAAGCAAACAGTCTTTAATATTGGACCTAATAATACACATCTTTTAGCCCGTAATACGCCATATTAGACGTCTAATATATTGGTTACTTGAGTGTTGAAATAATGTGAGATCCCCAAGCCTTATGAGTAAAGCATTAAATAGCAGAGGGTGTTATTTTGTTAGCATTATTAGCTAGCCGGCTAACGAGAAGGCGTAACACTGTTATATTTTAAAACTGCGTTTATAACGTTACTGCTTCAGTACAATGCTTGGGTGAAAGGTTTCCAATACTCACTTGGCTAAAAGAGGGACAGCTAGTTGGTTTATTGTTCGTGTAAACAGTCGGCAGGAAATTAGGCCAGATTGAGGCCGGGGATGTGGCCGAAATACAGCAGCTAAGCATCCGAGCTGAAGCTACTGTGTAACATTATTGGTAGCCAACTCTCAGGTGTAATCCTCAAATCTTGCGAAATTAACTCGTATTAGGTGGATGGTAACCAGTGGTATTAAGTAACTAAGTACATTTACTCAAGTAGTGGTCTTAAGTACAATTTTGAGGTACATGTACTTGTGTTTTTCCATTTTATGCTACCTTGTACTTATACTCCACTACTATTCAGGGCTACATAGTGTGTTTTTTCTCCACTAAATTATATATTTCAAACCTTTAGTTACTTATGCAAAAGTAATAAACACTTAAATAAGACTTGAGATACACCTGGAGCAAATCCACAAGCTAACCTGCAGCATACAAAGTAAATAAAACCACCTTTACCAGCTGTGATAACATAATAAAGCATCAATATTCATAATGTAATATATATTATTCTGAAATGGGCCAATCTGCTGAATGAGTACTTTTACTTTCGGTACTTTAAGTATATTTTGCTGCTGTGCTTTCACTTGAGTAACATTTGCTTTTACATTGCTGAATGGCAGGGGTGTAAAGTAACTCATTACACTTACAAATACTGTACTTAAGTACAATTTTGAGGTACTTTACTTAAGTATTTCACATGTTTGCTTGCTTTGTACTTCTACACCACTACAATTCAGGGGTACTTTTACTCCAATACATTTATGTAGTACCTTTAGTTACATGCAGATATAGATTAATGATAAACAATATGATCAACACCTCAATTTGACTTTAGTTACAACTGGATTAAATAAGTACCAGCTTTCATAAACACATCAATAATTATAATCAAAACATATCATATTATTCTGAAATGGACCAATCTGCACAATGACTACTTTTACTTTTGGTACTTTAACTATATTTTGATGCCAATACTTCTGTACTTTTACTTCAGTACAATTTTGAATGCAGGACTTTACTTGTAACAGAGTATTCCTACACTCTGGTACTTCTACTTTATTGCAAGATCTGAGTACTTCTTCCAGCTCTGATGGTAACAATATCTGACACTACTTGTGGTCGCACAGTTCATCATGCCATACGTTTCGTGGACACTAATGTATTAGAATGCACTTATTGTAAGTCGCTTTGGATAAAAGCATCAGCTAAATGCAATGTAATGTTAAGAAAGTGCATCTTTGGACAACTCGTCATGGATGTTATGTCAATATATCAAAAGAAAACAGCTTCGGGTTTATCTCTTCGACTTCCCAGTATGCGTGTGTCAACTTTCAAAGAGCCAGATGTTGAAGCATTTTCCTCTCGAGGCTGTGCACGAGGGCATCCCTAAATATATGTTACAGATGATTTGAGAATGAAACTGTGACCAATCGTTGAGGGAATGAATCTGAATCTGTGTGATATTTGATTCTAGTTTAGCAGAAGCATCTGTTTTTGAAAAGACATGAACACGGGTCAGATTTGATACACTTTTAAAAGTTAAATTCAGTGTTTATAGCACACATATCTGGTTAGCATGTATGCACAGGTTTTCCTCATCTTTGGTTGGTTGGAATACCTTTTGTGTAAAACTGTACATGACATACAGATGTAACAGAAACGTAGTAAGAGTCTGAATATTTTTGGTACCTTCTGATTTGATTCTTGGGGTAACGATTTAATGCTCAAGTCAAAATGAGTCTGGATATTAAATACATTCTCAATTAAGTAAACGGGGGTGCTAAATTCAGGATGTACTATAGTCAGCTGTGTGCTAATAAAAGGGGCGTGACCAAGTATGCCAGTCTTTATATTTGAAAAGGATCTATCAATTAAGTTATTCAAAGTTATCAATATGTTTTCAGTGTTTTGAGAATAGAAGTTACAATTATTGAAACTAAATTGTGCCTGTAACACAAATTAAATATGACTTTAGTTGCCCTTTTACCCAAGTTCCCCCTAGGAAAAAAACATTGTGATTCTGAATTTGTTTCTCAAAAAATGCCAATTTAAAAAAGATTAAAGTATTATATTGTGATCTGGTGATTACAGAATAATGCTTGACACAACTTGACCTAATATATGGGATTACTGTACATAAGCATCCATATTTAGTTTCTGTGCAGAAACAATAATACAAAAAACTACGCTTGTAAAACCCAGCAATATTATACATTATGTAGTTTGATTTCTGGCACATTAAAGAGTCTTATTTGGACTAGATTTCCATCATAGCTGCGGGGTTTAGTCAGTAAATAAATGGGCTCTTAGTCAAGGTTGCAAGCTGTTGAGTCTATGCTTCAGTCGAGGCTTCTTCCACCTGTTTAATCTATCAGTTGAACATCACCAGAAGCAGTTAGGCCATACTACATACATTTGTGTTTAGTATACTACCACAACAACTTCTTGCACTAGTTTGATTACATTGAAAGTATGCCTTCAGATTCAAGATTCAAGGCTTTTATTGTCATGTTAGCTACAGTGTAGTTATGACAATGAACATCTTAGGTCACAGGCTCCTCCAACAGTGCAACACAATAAAATAGTGCAAGTAAATACAAATACAAACAGAGTTGTAGGAAGTATCAGAGGGTTTACATTCCCCTCAGCTTCCTCTAACAACTCCCTCCATGAGAATTCCCTGAGCGTCTGCCGGACATCAACCTGTGTTTTGTTCCCTTGTTAAACCGTGTTCACACCGTAACATTTGGTGCCTGCATTTTTGTTCCTCCTCCTTTTCTCAACGACATCCCCACCCCCACAGCCTGCTGCAGAGCGCTGCAGTGGCTTGGCTTTGACAAACTAACTTGTGGAGTAGAAACAGGGGAATACTGTGGTCCACATACTACATATAGCGTGCTGTCTCTAAATGCACAAAGCGTCCGGATGCATGACAATGGAATAGACACAGATTTAAGATCAGATTTATTTCATTCTTTTGTATCTGCCACTTAAAAAAAAAACGTTTAAGATCAAATTTATTTCACTGTTCTGTGATATTTTTTGACATGTTGCATTAAGAAAAGCACAGGTGTGGGTAACCAAATGAGAGGTGACACATTCAGATAGGGCTGTTCGATTATGGCAAAAATCATAATCACGATTATTTTGGTCAATAATTGATATCACGATTATTAAATACGATTATTCATTGACTTTGAAAACATCCATTTATTGAACTTCAAAACAAATACAAATAATAATTTGAACAGCATCTTTTTAACTGTTGATTACCCTGAATGTATAATTCAACTGAAAAACCAATACAAAAATAAATGATACATTTATATTTACATTTAAATAATATCAAAATAATAAATACCAATAAACAAGATCAACAAATATTTTGGAGCGCACTTCCACAAGCTACTAAACATATATAAATATGATAAATACAAATAAATTAGACTAAAATACATTAGATCAAATATGTTCTAGTGCACTGTCACAACCTAGCAAAGCAAAATAATCGTTTTTTTCGATTATGTTGTTTTCGTAATTGTGGCAGGCCAAAATCGTAATTGCGATTAAAATACGATTAATTGCACAGCCCTACATTCAGATTAATTGTTTAAATACATCCAACAGTTCTTAAAACAAAGACTTGCTATATATGACAAGAAAGGCAGCTTTTCAATTTGACTTCTGTGCATGCTTGTTTTTCATAGTCGGGGTATTTTTCCTGCTGGTTCACTGTCACGGCTTAATGGGACACAAAGACCAGAACCACAGCTAATGTTATAGCAACAACTATGTTATTTCCTACTATAATACATCAATATGTCTTCTTGAAAGAAGTCCTTTAAGGTTTCTTGTAGGCAATGTTATCCTCTGACTGCTGTGGGAATGTACTCATTGGGTATCATTTTGAAACTAAAGTAATGTTTGATAAACCAAGCCCCTATATTTGTGGACCAAAGCACATTTTTGTAGGAGATATTTCGTGTTTTTTTATCACCTCCTGCAATGTTTTGTAAAAAAACCCAAACCATCTGATTCACTTAACACACAGATGATAGTCTAACTGTTGCCTATGAATCCTTGTCTAATCACCTGAGCGAGAACCTATGTTATAATGACTCTTCAGCACTGGCCAGGCCCAGTTTAATATGCTTAATGTTCCTGCTCCATCTGTCTTTTAGCTTAGTTGTCTTTGGCCTAAAAAACAACTCAATTTCTGTGAGCTTGTTGAGCTCTTTGAAGCCTTGAGCTCGACTGTAATGGGACTGTTTTGAGTTTAATGACAACGCTTTATTATCTGAAAATATAAAACCCTCTTAAATGTGCTGCTGAAGATCACAAGCTCTCTCTCTAGCATTTAGACCTTTTATTCCCCATTTTCTTTATCCTAACGCACCATACAAGTAGGCCACAAAGTGTGCAATGCATTTGTGTTAAGTACGTTTATTTATACTGGGTGATTTGTAACTCAAGTGGTTCTTCAACTGTGGGTCTTTTCACCCCCTCAACCCCTTAAAAAGAAAAACTCATTTGGACATCTGGACACCTCCATCGACCCTGAGCTTTATCACAGAAGTCTGACTATCAATCTGTGAGTGGACAGGGTTATCTCCTCATAAACACTCCTATGTCAAGTAGATAATGACTTTTTTTACTCAAGGCTTGGGTCCCCTCAACTTCCAGATTAACGCCAGAGTCCTTCCTATAGTAACGATAACAGTTTGTCATTGATAAGTAATGAAAATGCCATCTGGTGCTTTCCAAGGTCTCCACCTCAGTCTCTCATAAGACAAAATGTCCACACTATCCACTACAGTACAAATTAAGACATACATAATTGATCTAATAAACACATACATTCGTTATAATCCATTATTTTACCAGCTTTCCTGTTGTTCACTGAACTTAATGACATCTGTATAACGTGTCCACATTGTGTGATTTTACCTGAGTTATTCCGGTACTTGTGGGTTATCTGTCGCCACTTTTTGTTGTTGTTTTCAGACTCTAAATACGCTCTTTTTTTAGAGAGGGTTAGGGTTAGTATATTTTTGTGTAAATGGCGACATAACACACATCTGTATTTGTGAAAAAGTTGGAAAATTACGTAAAAAAGTGGCGACAGATAACCCACAAGTACCGTTATTCCTACTAGCTATTATAACACTGTCCAACGTAGGGCAGTGGATGAAAATACACAACCTCTTTTGATTTTCAAAACAAAACTCCTTATTAGGCGCTAATAAGTACTTTTCCCAGGAATAGTTCCGATAGTTCTTGGGATTTTGCGTTCACACTAAAAAGATCTGGAACTAGAACCTAGTTCATAAGAACCTTGTCACCCCTTTTTAGTCCCTGCTAGAGAGGTGGTACTTTCCTGGGGAGGAAAAGGTTCACATTTCTGATTGGCTGGGCGAATTGCAAACAGAAGCCTCGTCTCAATACCCCTCCTCGACTCCTCCTTTCCCTCACTCGCGTCCCTTCCTTGCGTCTTAGCTCCGCCTCCGTAAGATGCGAGCGAGAGACACGAGGAGGTGACACGAGGAGGTGACGCGAGGAGGTGACACGAGGAGGTGACGCGAGGACAGAGGAGTCCTCAGGTATTAATTGGGATGTCCTCGTTCACTCAAACGTCACTCTTAAACGACGTCTGTTAATGATGACATGTGCACAGCTGTATCCCCTCTCATCGGGCTTAACTGAATAACCCTTTAGAACCGGCCCATTTGTTGTTAAATATGTATTTAAATTATGAATCTTTCTCTTGTTAGTCAAGGAATTCAATGTATGATGGTTGGTCCTGCTTTTGTGTTCCGTTTTGGTGTAAAATGTACATTTCAATAAAATTATAATTATAATAATGTGAAAGCCTTTACTCTGAACATGTGTGTCCTGTAGATCCCCACATTCACCACAAACCCACATTCAGGACTGTGCATTTTAAATAATTTAACTACTCAATATTTTAACACAAAACAAAACAAATAATTGTTATTTATCAAGATCTAGCCATTTATGAAATAGCTTTCTTAATAGCTATGTTTTAGTGACGTTCAAGATCATTAAACATGACTTAAATTGTTAGTATAACCTTAAGAAATGAATTGCACATAATAATTCCCACGGAGCTGTGAGCACTTAGATTTATGTGACGCTTTTCCACTCATTCTTCCAGTTCTCCGTTTTCCTCTCAGGAAATCAACCAGCTGTGAAGGTGGGGGCGGGGCTTTTATACGCGAGTAGTGAAAACACTTCCGCGTAGTCTGCTCTCGTGTATCCTCCCTTTCGTCTCCTCCCGCACCCCTCCTCCCTCACCCCTCCTCGACTCCTCCGTGTGCATTTCAGCTATTGGGACGTCCTTCAACATGGCGTGTCTTGATCGATTTCCGGGTCAAGTCCCGGAGGAGGGGAAGAGAGGAGTCGAGGAGGGGTATTGAGACGAGCCTTGAGCCCCGTAAAACTGCGGAAAGTTTTGTGAAGCCGCCATTTTATTTGCTCGCATTAGCATTATTAGCATTAGCCCAGCGCACCAACGGAGAGAGACTAACTTATGGCAACACAAAAGAAAACATGGGAGCAGTGGAGTGATGAGGAGGTGTCGGCGTTCTGGCGATTTACCCGGGACTTTGGGTGGCAGTATACGCTGTGAAGTTGTTTGCGGCCTGCCAGTAAACCCAAAGCAGAAGAAGAAGAAGTGACGTCAGCGGCTTCATTTGTGTAATCCTCCCTCAGGGACTTATTCCGGTGTGAACGCGATTTACTAGGACAGTTCCGGGACTAAAGAGTTCGGCGGGACTAAGTACTGGGGACAAGTACGGCAAAGTACTTGGTGTGAAAGCGGCTATTGCTATTGCTATATTCTTCATTTTCGCCACGGTTGTTTATGTTTCTGTTACGTTTCATGTCTAAAGCCTGGGTCTTCGCAGAAAGTGGGCACGATCACTAACAGTATGGTGATATCTTTCAGAGTATTTCAGCTAGAATATTTAGTTTTTCATAAATGGGATTAAGGTTTATACAAATGGGATACGGTCCCAAAGCACTAATGTGTGAATGAAGAAGTGGGTAAATGCTCAAAAGGCTGTGGGGGGTATTTTTTGTCCTGTTGGCATAAACTAATAGAGTTTCGTTGTATGTTTGTTTTTCTCTTCCAGATCTTGAATGAGTAGTGAAGACTGTAAATCACAGCTATGCAGACCATAAAGTGTGTTGTAGTGGGGGACGGAGCAGTGGGTAAAACATGCCTGCTCATCTCCTACACCACTAACAAGTTCCCCTCTGAATATGTTCCTACGGTAAGTGTGTTTTAAAGGTCACCTATTATGCAAAATCCACTTTTTCATGTATTTTATACATCAACATGTGTCCCCTCTTCTTCATGTCTCTTCTACATCAACATGTGTCCCCTCTTCTTCATGTCTCTTCTACATCAACATGTGTCCCCTCTTCTTCATGTCTCTTCTCCATCAACATGTGTCCCCTCTTCTTCATGTCTCTTCTACATCAACATGTGTCCCCTCTTCTTCATGTCTCTTCTACATCAACATGTGTCCCCTCTTCTTCATGTCTCTTCTACATCAACATGTGTCCCCTCTTCTTCATGTCTCTTCTACATCAACATGTGTCCCCTCTTCTTCATGTCTCTTCTACATCAACATGTGTCCCCTCTTCTTCATGTCTCTTCGACATCAACATGTGTCCCCTCTTCTTCATGTCTCTTCTTCATCAACATGTGTCCCCTCTTCTTCATGTCTCTTCTACATCAACATGTGTCCCCTCTTCTTCATGTCTCTTCTACATCAACATGTGTCCCCTCTGTGTAAAGAGACTCTGAAAGTTTCAGGAACAAAGATTCTCTCTCTTTTTGTCCTGATCCATTTCTATAAAAACCTGTCTGAAAATGAGCTGATCAGATTTTGGCCACTTTATGATGTCATAACGATGTGTTGGCTTGTGTTACCATTAGCCAATCACCAACCAAGGTAACCCCCCCCCCCCCCACCTTATCATCTGAATCTCCTCCTAGAGCACCATTGTGTTCTTCTTAACCAAATGTCTCTCAGAGGGGCGTGGGGAGGGGCTCCTTATTTTCATCTAAAGTAACAGACAGAGAATCAGCACTTTGGAAACAGGGCTGAAACAGAGGGGATTATGGGATGCTGCAATGATCTGTTTGGTGTTTGGAGCCAAACACTTCAGAGACATGTTTTGTATAGATCTGAGACCTGTAATATATTGATGAAAAACAGTATAATAGGGGACCTTTAACTTAATTTGGTATCAATGTAATTTCCGTCTCATGCTAATCAGGAATCCTTCAGGGGGTTAAAACAGGTCACATGTTTATTTCACAAAAGATACATTTCTTTTTTATATCTTTTAGCCTTCACACTTTAAATTGATAATGGCCCACAGCCTGACCATAGACTGTATAATGATATATTTGTAATTTATATTACAAATGTATCATTTCCAATATCAAGATAAGATAAGATGTACTTTATGAATCCAAATTTGGGACTTTTTGTTGTTGTTGCAGCATAAAACAAAACAAGGCATTGCCCATAATAACAAATTAAAAGAGTAGAAATAAACAATTCTAAAATAGAAACATCTCAAAATAGAAATAGTAATAAACCAGCATTAGAGAGGAAGACAAATATACAGAAGACTGTGAAGATAGAAAATGTCCATAAAGCTCTTGTGCGAGTATAATGTTTCCATATTTCACAATTGAGATGTAGCTAACCTTTGGTTTTGATCTGTGTTTCTGTAGGTGTTTGATAATTATGCTGTAACTGTAATGATCGGAGGCGAGCCCTACACTCTGGGCTTGTTTGATACAGCAGGTACGTCTGTCTTATTTTCATCTACACTTCTGTACTTTTGTTCATCATCCAGTTTATATTACACATTCAAAACGTTTTTATTGTGAAGGGTTGATATGTCAATTTAATTTTTTTTATTTTTAAACGACAGCTAAAGACACATCTTTTTAGATTAGCTTTTTATTAGCAACCCTCCACTTTAAATGTTCTTTTAGTCTCTATTATTTACCTACCTTTAATTTATTTTATAGGTCTTAATCTTTTTATTTTAGGCTCACTTTGTTTTATGGGGTTTTATATTTTATATTGTTGCATCGACTCAGTTGTCTTGTGTCTAATCTGCCCGAGAGAAACCATTATTTATTTAATATGTATTATCATAGATTGTACCTCCTTGTGTCTATGAACCTGATAACATGTTATATTTTACTGCATGTACCTTTTAAAGTTCTTGTTTGTTTTTAACTTGTGATGTGTCGCCATTTTGTAAAGCACTTTGAGCTGCATGTGTTGTATGAAAAGGGCTATATACAGGGATGCAAACTTGTCACCTTTCGGCGAAATTCGCCGTTTTGATTCCAAAATAGGTCGTTTGTGTGATTCATGTAGATCTGCAATAAAAATATTTTTGGGGTATGGGGGGGGGGGTCTTGGACCCGGAGTAATCTGCGGCCGCGAGCTGTTATGTGCCATCATGACACGCATGGTGTTCTTTTTTTTATATATTATAATGAAGCGCGAGCTGTGTGCTCGAGTCTTCCTGCCTGTCGGCTCTGCTCATGGATGTATAATAAGGCTCTGCTGCTCCGGGATGAGGGTCTAGCTTCAGCAGCTACATTACCTACGGGTGCGTTCGTTAATATTAACTGTGTGGTCCGGAGTCACTGTGGCACAGACTGGACCGCTGGTGAACAAGGTTCAAGGTTCAAGGTTCTTTATTGTCAATCTGACATAGCTACAGAGTAATTATGCAGTTGAAAATCTTATGTCACAGGCTTCTCCAACAATGCAACATAATAACATAACATAATAACAATAAGAGCAAGAGCAATACAAAAATAATAATAGTTATAAAAATGAAATAAAGTTATGATGTGGAATAGTGCAGTATGAGTCTATATACAAGTTATTGGAATGATATATATATATTAGGTATTAGATACATACTACTGAGTAGCAGTTGAATGTTTGATGTTGTTTCAACAGTTCAATTGTTTAACAGTCTCACTGCCCGCGGGAAGAAACTGTCTCCGAATCTTCTTGTCCTTGCCCGGATGCTGCGGTAACGTCTGCCAGACGGCAACAGAAAGAACAGTTTTGTGGCTGGGGTGATGGGGGTCTTTGATAATCCGTAGTGATTTCTTCCTGAGCCGCTGGGAGTAAAGGTCCTCCATGGATGGCAGCTCCGTCCTGGTGATGTGCTGTGCAGTTTTCACCACCCTCTGTAAAGCCTTACGATCGAGGTCGGTGCAGCTGCCGTACCAGGCCGTCATGCTGCCAGTGAGGATACTCTCTATCGTGCACCTGTAGAAGTTGCAGAGTATCCTGGAATCCATTTTGAACCTCCTCAGCCTGCGGAGGAAGAAGAGCCGCTGTCGAGCTTTCTTGGTGATGGTGGTGGTGTGAAGAGACCACGTCAGGTCCTCAGTGATGTGGACCCCAAGGAACCTGAAGCTTTTGACTCTCTCCACCGTAGTCCCATTGATGGCGATGGGGGCGTGTCCCTCTCCCTGCTGCTTCCTGTAATCCACAATCAGCTCCTTTGTTTTGCTGATGTTGAGATGGAGGTTGTTCTCCTGGCACCAAGATGTCAGGTTTTCGACCTCCTCTCTGTATGCCGTCTCGTCATCGTCTGTGATCTGGCCGATGACGGTCGTGTCATCAGCAAACTTCACGATGGTGTTGGAGCTGTGTGTGGCCACGCAGTCGTGGGTGAACAGGGAGTAGAGGAGAGGGCTGAGCACGCAGCCTTGAGGGGCACCGGTGTTAAGAATCAGGGTGGAGGATGTGATGTTTCCCACCCGCACTGCCTGGGGTCTGCCCGTCAGGAAGTTCAGGATCCAGTCGCAGAGGGCGCTGTTGAGCCCGAGGTCTCTGAGCTTGATGGCCAGCTTGGAGGGCACAATGGTGTTGAATGCTGAACTGTAGTCAATGAACAGCATTCTCACATATGTGTTCCTGTTCTTCGGGTCCAGGTGTGAGAGGGCAGTGTGGAGGGTGAGGGCTATGGCGTCGTCTGTGGACCTGTTTGCTCTGTAGGCAAACTGCAGGGGGTCCAGAGATTCAGGGAGGGAGGAGGTGATGAATAATTTGACTAACCGCTCAAAGCACTTCATTATGATGGAGGTGAGTGCTACTGGGCGGTAGTCGTTGGGGCAGGTGATGATTGTCTTTTTGGGGACAGGAATGATGGTGGAGTGTTTAAGACATGTGGGGACTACAGACTGCAGCAGGGACCTGTTGAAGATGTCTGTGAACACCTCTGCCAGCTGAACTGCACACACCCTGAGAACACGGCCAGGGATGCCATCAGGTCCAGGAGCCTTGTGTGGGTTAACCCTTTTAAAGGATTTACACACATCTGCCCTATTTAAAACAAAAGGGCAGTGTAGCTCCTGGTCCCTCTGTACCTCCACAGCCTGGCTGCTCTCAAAGCGTGCAAAAAAACTATTTAGCTCATCTGGGAGAGATGCGCACGCAGACACTCCCGCAGCACCCCCCGCTGCTCCTTTGTAGTCAGTCATTGTCCTTAGTCCCGCCCACATATTCCTAGTGTTACAGCCTTTGAAGTCAGATTCCACCTTCTCTTTGTACTGTCTCTTTGCATTTTTTATTGCTCTCCGGAGATCATACCTAGACTTCCTGTACTCCTCCAAATCTCCCGCTGTGTGCGCGAGAGTGCGCGCTTTCAGTTTGCCGCGCACCTCACCGTTTACCCAGGGCTTTTGATTTGGGAATGTCCGTACAGAAACCTTCGGTACCACGTCATCGATGCATTTCCCAATGTAGCAGATGACAGTGTCCGTGTGTGTGTTGATGTTATTGTCCTCAAACACACTCCAATTCGTAGATGCAAAGCAATCCTGCAGTGCTGAATCTGACTCCTCGCTCCATCGTAGGAGCACGAAGACGATGCGGCCATCTTCACCGGCGCATCACAATCTATCAGCTGTTAGAACGGGCCGTTCAGGTGTTCAGAGCAGAGCTCCCTGTTGGAGCGGCAGAGCGTGATGTGCACTGAAAAGTGTTCCTGTCGCAATATTATCGTTGAGCTAGCTAACTAGCATACATTGTCACTATCTGCTAACGTTAGCTTTAGCCTTCGTTTTCAAATAGTTTCTTTCATAGCCTATAAACGGAGGTGGTATAAGTATATATCTTGTACTTGAGTAAAAGTAGAAGCACTCAGATCTTGTACTTGAGTAGAAGTACCAGAGTGTAGGAATACTCTGTTACAGTAAAAGTCCTGCATTCAAAATGTTCCCCAAGTAAAAGTAGAAAAGTATCATCATCAAAATATAGTGAAAGTAGCGACAGTGAAAGTAGTCATTGTGCAGATTGGTCCATTTCAGAATAATATATATGATGTGTTTTATAATGATTGATCATTAAAGTGTTCTCAAAGCTGGTAAAGGTGCAGCTAGTTTGAATGACTTTGTATACTGCAGGGTAGCTTGTGGATTTACTCCAGGTGGAACTAAAGTCTGATTTAACACTTGATTATATTTCACATCATTCATCCACATCTGTAAAGTAACTAAAGCTATTAAATACATGTAGTGGAGTAGAAGTACACCATTTACCTCTGAACGGTAGTGGAGAAGAAGAACAAAGTAGCAAAACATTGAAATACTTAAATATAGTACAAGTATCTCAAAATTGTACCCAAGTATATAGTACTTGTTGAGTTTATGAACTTAGTTACTTTACACCACTGGCTATAAAGATAGAAAGACTAAGCCTTGCACAGAGGCATGCAAATACATTTTCAAAATGCTCAACAGTGCTGCCAAAATTATAAACTGACTGCTACACAATTAAAATAAATGCTTTTATATATTTATATTAGATGTGACTCTTTGGCGTTTCTGTTATTATTAACTGCTTTAGTTGTTCTGACTGCTAAAATCCTCTGTTATTCCTCATTTTAAAGCCGATATTCCGTGGGGTCGGGGGGCTCAGATCCTTGTCACCTTTTTCATACCTGATGAGTTTGCATCCCTATATATAAATAAAGCTTTATTATTATTATTATTATTATTATTATTATTATTATTATTATTATTATCAGAGAGTGCTGGAAACAAGACTGTGAGTTAAACATGTTGTTGTGGTGTCTCCAGGTCAGGAAGACTACGACAGGTTACGACCTCTGAGTTATCCGCAGACAGATGTCTTCCTAGTCTGTTTTTCCGTTGTGTCTCCATCCTCCTTTGAAAACGTCAAAGAAAAGGTGAGTCAAGTCATTCCTTTTAGAGCTACTTCTCTTTTTCCCAATGAAATATGTATACCAGGGCTATTCAATTGGCGGCCCGCGGGCCAAATCCGGCCCCGTGGTGATATTTACTGGCCCTTTGAGTATAATGTGAAAAAGTAATCTACTTGTTTTTTTATTTTCAAGATTTCTTTTTTTCAAGATTTCTTTTTGGGCCAGAGTGCCTTTATTCCAGAGAGGGTGTTACATTGAGAGATAGAGGGGAAGACAATGCCTGAAAACTTTGGCAGGCTCGGGTTTCGAACCCATCTACTAGCTACTGTAGTGACAACCCACCTACTAGCTACTGTAGTGACAACCCACCTACTAGAACTACTAGCTACTGTAGTGACAACCCACCTACTAGAACTACTAGCTCCTGTAGTGACAACCCACCTACTAGCTCTTGTAGTGACAACCCACAACCCACCTACTAGCTACTGTAGTGACAACTCAACTACTAGCTACTGTAGTGACAACCCATCTACTAGAACTACTAGCTACTGTAGTGACAACCCATCTACTAGAACTACTAGCTCCTGTAGTGACAACCCATCTACTAGAACTACTAGCTACTGTAGTGACAACCCACCTACTAGCTCCTGTAGTGACAACCCACAACCCACCTACTAGCTACTGTAGTGACAACCCACCTACTAGAACTACTAGCTACTGTAGTGACAACCCACCTACTAGAACTACTAGCTCCTGTAGTGACAACCCATCTACTAGAACTACTAGCTACTGTAGTGACAACCCACCTACTAGCTCCTGTAGTGACAACCCACAACCCACCTACTAGCTACTGTAGTGACAACTCAACTACTAGCTACTGTAGTGACAACCCACCTACTAGCTACTGTAGTGACAACTCACCTCCTAGCTACTGTAGTGACAACCCACCTACTAGCTACTGTAGTGACAACTCACCTAGCTACTGTAGTGACAACTCACCTAGCTACTGTAGTGACAACTCACCTACTAGCTACTGTAGTGACAACCCACCTACTAGCTACTGTAGTGACAACTCACCTCCTAGCTACTGTAGTGACAACCCACCTACTAGCTACTGTAGTGACAACCCACCTACTAGCTACTGTAGTGACAACCCACCTACTAGCTACTGTAGTGACAACTCACCTACTAGCTACTGTAGTGACAACTCACCTACTAGCTACTGTAGTGACAACTCACCTAGCTACTGTAGTGACAACTCACCTACTAGCTACTGTAGTGACAACCCACCTACTAGCTACTGTAGTGACAACTCACCTAGCTACTGTAGTGACAACCCACAACCCACCTACTAGCTACTGTAGTGACAACTCAACTACTAGCTACTGTAGTGACAACTCACCTCCTAGCTACTGTAGTGACAACCCACCTAGTAGCTACTGTAGTGACAACTCCTGTCCTTTATTGCATCTCTGCGTGAATGATAAGATAATCTCACCTAAAGCAAATGAAATGATGTTGATGGTTAAATTAGCTTCACATGTAGGCCTACTGAGTTCTGAACTTGCCATTTAGATCTATAAAGGCCTTGGGGCTATGTTGTTTGATTTAATTAAACACAATATATGCACTCCACTATGCTGTTGTAGTATTAACTGTATCTGAAGCTCTTAATATGATTGCTCATATTTCAAGTCATCTTTTTCCCGGCCCCTTGCTTTGGATCATTTTCAAACTAATTGAATAGCCCTGATGTATACACTCTTTCTTATATCTCCAAATACACAGAATTATTAAGGATATTTAAAGTTAATAGTCACAGTTTATCATTTTGATTTGTCATTAGCAGATTTTATAAGGTACATTTCCCTTTTCTCTTTATTTTGAATAGCATATTTTGTATTCTTTTAGCGGCTACTGAGTGTTTTGTTGGAGCTGCTCACTGCCTTTTATGAATGCTAACAATTAAAAAAATGTGCAATATATTTTGTATTGACATTTGGCATTTATTTTCAAGACATAGTAATTGTGCATCTTAAGTTAGTCTGTCTGAAATGCCTTACACATTAAAAAGTACGAACAATAGAACATTAGGGAGTGATCGGGACTTCACAGTCAAATCATATGTTTGTAAAAATAAAATATGGCCTATGAGGTTTTAAATGTTCAATGTCAGCTGGAACAAACTAGTTAGCTTAAGGCCCTTTTTCTAAAAACTACCTGCTACTGTACTGCAGTGTTAGCATTGTTTTGAGCTTTTAACAGCTACTCTCAGCCATGGTCAATTAACCAATTCAGTAACACAGATGGAAATAAAGCCTAAACACATGTTGTAGCTGTGCAGAGGAGAACATATGTGGAGAAAATTGATTTACTGGACGAGGACACCCTCTTGAAAAGGGGAAAACTGTAGTTTCTTATAATTTTTGAAGACTTTTTAAATGAGTTCTGTGATTGATCTGAACATCTTGAACTGTTTTTATATGTTTCTAGTTATTGTGCTATTATTTTATTCCTATTGTGTGATTTTATATTGTCTTTGGTCAACTGAGGTTGTTTTAAATGTGCTATGTAAATAAATAAAGATTGAGATTGAACTCCCTGACAGCTGATCAGTCAGCTAAGTCAGTAAACCCAATGTAAAGATCTTGTGATATAGCATGTCAGATGTTGCATTAACCCTTTGTGTGTGTCTCCAGTGGGTTCCAGAGATCACCCACCACTGTCCAAAGACCCCCTTCCTGCTAGTTGGGACTCAGATTGATTTGCGGGATGACCCCTCCACTATAGAGAAGCTGGCCAAGAACAAGCAGAAGCCCATCGCTCCGGAGACGGCTGAGAAACTGGCGAGAGACCTCAAGGCTGTGAAATATGTGGAGTGCTCAGCCCTCACGCAGGTACATTCTACAGTTATACAGTCATCACTTATTGATATACAGAATTGAACACACTTGATTCAAATCTCAACGGCAAGAAGTAGGAAAAAGGAGGAAAGAGGAACATGTTCGTACCTCCTTGGTCTCATTGTTGATAGGTTCTGTTCTGCGTGATGGTTTGGTTTCAGGGAGTTTTCTTACTCATGAGTTCACTGGTGTTGCTAAGTACAAATTGTCAGTTGTTTGGGATAAACACTTCAGATCATGGTGCTTACTGGTAACTTTAAAAGTGTTTCCATGTAGCTGTTATAGGGCTGTTAAAGAGACGTTTACAGGTTGTAGAATGTAATTGTTTAGAATAATGTCTTGTAGGGGTTCTTGTAAGGAGGATTAGTACACTTGGTATCTCCCAAACCAATAAGGTCCAGTGAGATTGACAATAGTTTGGTCTTTTGCACCTTTTTCCTGGAAGTCTCAAAGCACAAAGTGGCCTGATCATAGGATATCCCTTCCTACCATCTGAGAGAAAGGTGTTCTGATAGTGTCTACACTTTCAGAATGGGCACATTGCAGCTCCGAAGGGCACTAACTTGGATCAGCTAATAAAGATGTGAAGATATCAGTAGTTAGCGAACCAAATGGTTAACATTATCCTCGAGGAGCTACATGTCTCATAATGTGAACATGCTGGTTTTTTTTCGTGAAGCTCAAGAGATTTCTTGTGTGTTTTGGCGGAGGACGTTCACCTGTTAAGTCTGTTGTTGAGGTGCAGAGAAAAAAGGACAAATCAAATTCAAGAAAATCAAAGTGTAGAAATGGCAATGAAAATATTCTGACGTGAGCTCCTCCAACAATCCAACATATATAATAAAATACAAAATAAAAAGTAGTGTAAAAAGTCTATATACATTAAAATTGAAAGTCGGAAAGTCTAGAGCAGGGGTGTCAAACTCAAATACACAGTGGGCCAAAATACAAAAATGGGTACTAGTCGAGGGCCGGACTGGTTCAATGTTTATTGCAGAACTTATTGAAATGAACTTATTGCACATATTAAACCTGGAACTAACAAAGCTTAAATGATTGCCTATAAAAACAACATAAACATTAAATAATCAGTTGCATTCATTTCTTATGGCTCTATCTGCAGCTTTTCCAGAGTCATTTCTTATGATTACATTTTTCCACAGGCCAACAACAGCTTCAAAAAAACAATTTCCCTCAAAGAAAAAACCAAACATGTCCTGTTGTCACAAGAAAGAAAGTGCAGAAGGAAACATCCATTGAGCTCAGTGTGCTGCTCTGTGATGCTAGGTCAAGCCAGATACTTGGCATCTCATCTTGGGTGCAAGTTCATCAATGTTTGGGCTCAGGCTCTGAGCTGAGGAGATCCTCAGGATTCAGTGAAGGTGGGTGTGCAATATACCGGCGGGCCAGATCGAATAGTAATTAGAAATTATCCTGCGGGCAGAAATTAAATCCACCAAGGGCCTGATTTGGCCCCCGGGCCTTGAGTTTGACACATGTGGTATCGGGGTACATGTTGTCAGATTGAGGAAAACATTCACCAGGAGAGTTTTCTTGACTAATAGAATGAATTCTGGGGGTTGGAGCTTAAAATAAATGAATTTGAAAATGTACATGGCACTAAGGACCACCCTGATATACATGTAAATAAGATAAGATAAGATGGATCTTTATTAATCCCCGTGGGGAAATTCAGTATTTTAACAGCAACAGGGTGAGAGTGAAAAACAGGACAGCACAGATTCACACAGATTAATACAATCAAGGATAAAGTTAAAGTTAAAAATGATAAATAACTATAAGATAAGAGATTCATTTAAATGAACAATATGTATATTGAATATGTACAAGAACAGAATATGAAATAAAATATTGTAAATTAAGACTAAATGAAATACGGTTTATTGCGTTGACTCAACTATTTTTAGAAATAAGTAGATTGCAAGATGATTTACAGAGGAATGTTTATCGGGGCACTTAACAGTGTAATGGCCTGTGGGATTAAAGTGTCCCACCAAATGGTGCAGGACAACTTGAGAAACGACTGAGAGTGCTTGTGTTGGCTTCAGTGGAGCAGTGTTAGAAACTCAAGGAGGGAACATGAGTCACAGCAGAACAGATGAGCGGAGAACAATAGTGTTGATGGAGTCGAGGTGGAGCCTCTCTTCTCTTTCCTTCCTCCTCCAACTCTCTCCCTGGCACAACTGTTACTGAGCTGCTGATGATGTCATTTCCTGTTTCCTGTCTCAGCTCTCTGACTACTCACACATCCTTTACTCAAGTAGAAGCACAGATACTCGTGTTTAAAAATACTCTAGTAGAAGTACTGACTAAACTTCTTTACTCAAGTGAAAGTAAAGAGGGCTTTGAAATGTACTTCAGTAAAAAGTACCCATAACTAGCAGCTGTTTTAAAGAGTACCTGACCTCCCTTTATATTAATAGAACAATAATGTCATTGTTAGCTAATGAATGTTTCCATGCTGAACAACGGCAACATGACAACGTTTTCATTGGTCCCTCTTCTTTAGAGAAGACCAGGAAATGATGGATACACGGATCGTGTTCAAATCAATAGGCACGCAATGACTCTAAATAATAATGATCACGCCACCAAACACACATTCAAACTAAAGGAACCAGCCTGTTTGGGAAATGTTAGAAGTAGAAAGTACAGGTATTTGTGTTCAACATGTAAGAAGTAGAAAGTACAGGTATTTGTGTTCAAAATGTAAGAAGTAGAAAGTACAGGTATTTGTGTTCAAAATGTAAGAAGTAGAAAGTACAGGTATTTGAGTTCAAAATGTAAGAAGTAGAAAGTACAGGTATTTGGGTTCAAAATGTTAGAAGTAGAAAGTTCAGGTATTTGTGTTCAACATGTAAGAAGTAGAAAGTACAGGTATTTGTGTTCAAAATGTAAGAAGTAGAAAGTACAGGTATTTGTGTTCAAAATGTAAGAAGTAGAAAGTACAGGTATTTGAGTTCAACATGTAAGAAGTAGAAAGTACAGGTATTTGAGTTCAAAATGTAAGAAGTAGAAAGTAAGAAGCCGTCAGAAAAATAAGCAGTGGAGTAAAGTACTGATACCAGAAAAATGTATTTAAGTACAGTAACAGAGTATTTGTACTCCACTACTTCCCACCTCTGCCACTCACTCTCTTTGCTGTACCATCCCAACACTATAACCCTCATCCCTTCTGCCTGTATTTAACACTTTGTTCCTCCATGTTCTTCCTCCTCTCTCCTCTCTCTCTTGTTCTGTGTTTTCTGTGCTAACTGTGTTCCTGTTCTCTATCTTCTTCTGTCGTTGTAGCGAGGGCTGAAGAATGTTTTTGATGAAGCTATCCTAGCCGCCCTAGAGCCCCCCGAGACGCAGGGAGAGAGGAAATGCTGTTTATTCTAACATCTCTCTGTGCCACTGCTCTCATCTCCTCCTCCACTTCTAAATGACAGTTTTCTTTCTGTGTTTTCATTAATTTACCCCGTCTTTCTGCTCCCCTGTAACTGTTTGTATTTACATGTGCTGCTTTCAGAGTCTAGATCAATCTCAGTCACTTAACAAACCAACTCCATCAAATGTGTGTGAGCTAAAAGTCAGAAATCGGGAAAAAAAGTATTCTCACTTTCCCCCCCGAAAATATAGAGGGAACAAGTCCAAATACATTTTTTTCCCTATTAGTCTGAAAAATAATTAGTTTTTCCCGAAATTCTGTGAGAAAGTCATAAATCTGAGAAAAAAAGTCTGAATATGTAGAGAAATATAATTCAGGGAAAAAGTCAGAATTCTGAGATTTAAGTCAGATTTTGAGGAAAATGAAGAATTAAGACTTTTTTCCCCGACAATCTCTGAGAAAGAATTGTCAAAATCTGAGGAAAAAAAGTGTGAATATGTGGAAGAAAAAGTCAGAATTCTGAGATTTAAGTCAGAAATCTGGGGAAAAAGTCAGAAATTGAGGGAAACTAATAATTCTCACTTTTCCCCCCCCGAAAATCTCGGATAAAAAATTCAAAAGCTGAGAAAAAAAGTGTGAATTTATCGATAAAATCTGGGGGAAAGTCAGAATTCTGAGATTTAAGTCAGAAATATGGGGGAAAAAAGTGTGAATTTGTCGATAAAATAATTCTGGGAAAAAAGTCATAATTTAGAGAATTTTTTTTTTTACTATTACTTTTTCCTCAGCGCTTAAAAAAAATCACTTTTGGTCAGATCAGAAATATTGAATTCACACTTTCCCCTAATCCTCCGTAAACTCCCAAACTACTACCCCTTAGGAAAATACATTCCAACTCAAACTTGTCTCCCAGCATGCATCACTAACCATCTGATCTTCTTGTAGTTTTTCTAACCTGTAATGGCTGCCATTTGGTGTTTTCATCTACATCTTCTTCTGTGGTTAATGTCAGCTTTCTTACACTCTGTATTACTCATGGATGTATAATAAGAACTGGATACAGCGTGGTCGGAGGCGGGGTCTCGTTCTTTCCTATGAGAGCTGCTCATTGGCGCATGAGGACAAAATGGCCCAACTTTTGAGAGAGCGAAACGTCACAGATTACCCATCATGCCTAGCTGTCAGAGCAGAAGAACCCGTATGTGCGCTCACAGAGCATGCGCCCCTTAAGCCCCGCCCCCCGAGCTCCCACTCTCGGCTCAGTAGAATGAATGGAGAGAGAAAATAAATCTAGATTCGGCTTTTAGTGCATTTGACAACTTTAAGGACTTAATGGTTATAATAAGGGCTATAAAATAGTTCATACTGGGTAGTTCATTGAGTTTAAAAAAAAGTATCCGCTGATTTACAGACGTCTCTTTCCCAATGTTAGTCAATGGGGAAAAGTGTTTCTGGGCCCAGGGACTTCACGACTGATACGGAAGTTGTAGTACCGCCGTTTGGCCACTACGAATTTGTTCCTCAGAGTCTGGCGCACTTCCTGGGGGCTTGGTATTACTACTTTCCTTTCCTCGGCTTATTAACATGGCTCCTTGCCGACAGTGGAGCGGTATCTAACAGAGGAAGTAGGAGGTAATTTGGGATGTAGCCATTGTTTGAGTTCAACCCTTCCCGTGTGTTGTACTATTCGATGTTGGGAGGATTTAAAATGAGGGTGGGGGCTGGGATTGATCTCAACCATAAACAGAGCTTCCATTTCTACTGCTAATGTATTTTTTGTACTACTGTTAATGTAAACAAAACTTGAAGTCTGGCTTAAGTGAGGGCTTTTAAGTACTTGTGTCATATAAACTTATCACAACAAGTAAGGACATTTGTGTTTGGTAGATTATTTCTTTTCGGGAATAAATCTTGTACCGTTGGAAAGCCTGTTTTCTTACCTTTCCATTCCATGGCATTGGCAGAGGAGATTTGTCATGGGCGCAACCCTCATACTCATCTCTGCTGCTCATCCCACAAATGCATGTTCCTCACAAATGTGGTACCATTGGAAAGGTAAGAAAACAGGCTTTCCAACGGTACAAGATTTATTGCCGAAAAGCATTGTTACAACATAGAAATCAATAAACCAAACACATGTCCTTACTTTTTGTGTTAAGTTTATATAGGGAGTGTTCGGTCATATTTTGTTTACAAGATAACCACTTCATTAAGTTGCTTCATGGTCTTATTGATCTAGTTTATAGCTTTCTGAATTATGTTGGCCCAACTTTCTCTATGTATGACACATAACTGCTGCTCATCATGCCGTCTTGATCACCGGAAAAAAGACAAACCTATAATTGTGTGAAATGACATGTGAAAATAATGAATAAAGGATGAATTAACTTGCTCTCTTGCTTGTTTTTCCAGTTCTTTGTCTCACACACGTTAGTCCTGGGCGGAGGGGTTTATCGGTTTACTGCATTAAGTGAAGCAGTGTGAGGAGCTCTGCTTTACTCTCACATGACCAAAGCTCATGGTGAAAGCTCAGGGCAAACACAAAGAGGAAAGGAACTCCTCATGAGAGTAGAGCTTGGGGTCTTTAATATTTCATAGTGAGCCATTTTAATCTGAAAAGCAGAGCAAAGAAAACACGGCATTTGGAATGATTTGTTTCAGGGGTTCTGCTTCCTTTTCCCTCCTTTTTGGTTGACCTGCCTGTTGTTTTCAGCTTCACGTTGCATTTCAAAAAGCATGTGATTTGTGTTGTTGACACTTTATCCCTGGCTTCACACAACATACTTGAGTTGGTCTGATTCTTGAAATCATTTACATTACTGTTGATTTCTTATCCGACTGTTTTATGACACACCCCTTTTGGTTTTCACTTATATTCCCTCCGTTTAAGCTGACATTGTGTTTTCCCTGTACCTTTTTTATTTGCTGACTTGTTTGTGTTTACGTTGCCTCCTTATTTAGCCTGTTTTTTTGTTTGTTTGTTCACAGAAAGGCCTAAAGAATGTGTTTGATGAGGCGATATTGGCTGCATTGGAGCCCCCAGAGCCCAAGAAGAAACGCAAATGTGTGCTGCTATGAGAGGCTCCTCCCTTTTTCAAAGCACACACACACACACACACACACATATGACACATACACACATCTTAAATACACACACACACACATACACACACCCCGCCCTCCATAGAGAAGACTAAGAAGCGAAACAGCCCACAGTTCAGATAATTCTCTGCAATAAAACGAAGAGATAGGACTTGGTCTCAGGCGGGGATCCAGATGTCGAGCTAACACACAAGTAGAATCCATTCTGTGGAGCTTTTGATAGATTTTGATGCAGCCAGGTCAACTTTTAGATGCCCAAGTCATTTAGATGTCTTCAGCCAATGTAAAGGGTTTCATGGATATATAAAAAAAGCCCCGCCCCCAGCCCATCCCAGCTGTCTGATTGGTTGCAGATCACACTGTTGGTCCCGCCTCCCTACCAGCACTACCAGAAGAAATGCTAACAAAGTAGTGTTTTGTTTGCCAACACCCACCTTTTTTCTCACCCTCAAACACACAAGATATTTATTCCATGTTCTGGATAGACGCGCTCTTAACCACTAAGGAAAAAATGCGACATCAATACGGCTAAAAACTCCACATCCAGGAACTTTTAAAACTATAGTAACATATTGCCATTTTAGTATCCAGTTCTCTTTAGTGGCGGTTTTTTCAAGGAGTGCGGTAATCACGTGAAGAGCTTAAAAGGCGTCCGGTAGAAATGGTTCCACTAAAGGAATTGGCCTTTTAGATGCAGGGAACTCAAACAGTGTTAGCAGAACAAAGCGGTGTTCTTCGTGCGATGCCAGGGACCAAAGGAGGGGTCGTCATCCATTTACACTTAGAGCGGGTACAGGAGAGACAGACATGTTTAAAATCAGGAGATCCAGAGAAAATGTAACAGTGTCCTCTCTCTTGGTCCCACTCAGACTGTACGTGGCTGCTGAGCTCTGGTCTCTGTTTCTACATGCTACTTTTAACAGATGTAATTATAATGTAAAATGGCACACAATGTTGATGTAGGCTCCAGGTGTTTTTACCAAAATATGTTTTTTTTCTTCATTATTTTCTGTTTGTGCTGTTTTATTTTTTATTTTATATATATAAATATATAAAAAAATAAAGGTTACTTTCACTCCTTTTACATTTTTAGGGGTCATCTGAACTCTTACCTGCCAGGTAATACCAAGAACACGCTCTGATTGGTTCAGTTAAATAAATAAAAAAAAAACTCCAATGGCAGAGAGACTGTTTGTGATTGGTTGGTCCTTGTTTTTCTTTAACTGGTGGCTTAGAGTTGGGTTCATTTCCAGCCCAAAGTCAGTATAATTATTATAACCTGTTGTTGTTTTGGTGCAAAAACCAAATGCTCTGTCTAAAGTCTTTGTTCTTTGTATATGCATTCTTTAAAAAAATATTAAACTTATACCTTAATTGCCTTTACCATGTTTCCCTTGCCATTCTTTTTCACATTGTGACTGCTGAACTTCACCTACAAACAGAATAATGTTCGACCATCATGACGTGTAAACTTATGATTTTTTAATAGTGTTTGGTAGGGATGTAACGATATATCGAATATCGCGATAAATAAATGTCTCGATACCGTCGTGAAACTGACAAAATCAAAAAAATGTTAAACCTTTATTTAACCAGGTGGTCCCATTGAGGTCATCGATCTCTTTTTCAAGGGAGACCTGTCCAACATGGCAGCAAGTAGGTTACAACATGAACATAAAACAACAGATAACACAAAAGGACATCGTATTTACAGGGCTACATTTACATACCTAGAGACATTGACAAGTACCAACAGTATATGTATATCTCGCCCTGTCAATAAGCCTCACCTTCTTGGCAAACACTGTATTGTTTTTGAAGTGGTGGAGAGACAATGCAGTTCTGTCACCCATGGCCAAAGCATATCTCTGTCCCAGCAACATCAGTACCAAGCAAGAGAGTTTTTTCCACAGCAGGGGATATTGTAAACGCCCAAACATCCCAGCTTCTACCTGGAAATGTGGACATGCTCATATTCCTAAAAACCTGTCTGATGATGCTGAGTGAGTGAGTTGGTGAGTTTGAGTTGAGTTACTTGAAGAACTAAAAGGTCTGATTATTATATTTTTGACACTTTAAAATACTACTATCCTACTAAAATGCCGTACAAATCAAATGTATTATTTAATAATGAACATTTTTTCAAGTAAAAAATATATGTCTTCCTCCATCAAAAACACTTTTTTTTTACCAGTGTTTAACCTCATATTGGTGGTTTCCATGTTATCTCTTGCTGGTAATTGTATGCAACTTTTATTGAGCAATTTGGGACACAGCATGGGTTTTCTCCACATCGGATTGCTGACATTATTCAGATGTTTGTACATGCTTTGTTGATTCTACACATTCCGATATTAAATGTAGATTAATATTCCAGATTGAAATTTGTTAACATCTCTGTCATTGTGGAATAATCCATCAGGTACTTTAGATCTGAACTTCGTTAGGAAATTAACTGAATCTAACATGATTTTTAGGAAAGTGCAGACTATTCTTCGCATAGGCTTTGTTTCCATTATTCTATATATTGTATGCCACTTTTATTGAGCAATTTGGGACACAGCATGGTGTTTCTCCATCTGTTTGAATTCCCATCACAGGTGGATGCGCCTGTCATTACATGTTCATCCAGCAGGAGGCGCTGTCCACCAACATAGTATTGTTCCTGATGTTCCTTCCCTCTCCGTCCCTCCAATGAAGTGCTTTTATTCCCATTTAAAAACTGATAGTGGGTTGTTTTGGGATTGTTTGCACTATGTGGATCGTGTGTGCACATCACACACAGTCAAGAAGTTAAGATGAAACTGAATCATCAAGAGAATTAAAAAGTAATACAAGAAAGCAGTAACAATACGAAAATCTAAATAAATATATGAAAATTCAATATAGTATTGATTTGAAATAATAATAGTAGGCTATGAACTTTAATGAATGCATAGAGGTACAATTCTCTGCAGAGTGTTTTTAAATTAACACATGATTTAGATACAGATGGCTCGCCTGCTTAGATTCATAATGAAATACTCTTGATATGATAGTGATTTAATATGAGAACATGTACTGAATGTTATCAAGAAATCCTCATAGTCTGCTGGTTTAATTATCACAACTTGAGTTACTACATTTTGTATGAAAAAGTATCAGACACATTGACGATATTGTGAACTAACTGACACAATCTTTACTTAAAGTGGACCTATCATGCTATATTTGAATAATGTAGTGTAGGACCATACCTATATAAGGCATATTTATACTTTTTATTTTTCAAAATACCAAACAGATCATGCATTTTAGCCATGCCTCATTTCGCTCAATTTGAAAAATGTTAGCTCTGTTTTTGCAAGGGCTGATTCTGTGAGAACAGCACCATCTACAGGCCTGGCATATGTACTACAGCGTCTCCAGCGCTTTCGAACGGCAATGGCCGTGGCTGTCTCCTCCTGATTGGTGGAGTTGGCCCAATAGCCGTAGCGCCACCGTCCTGACGTCAGGACAGTGTTCAAATCTGGATCAGTTTTTATCAGATCCGTTGCAGCCCCTTTTTTAGAGATTTGGGTATGGAGGAAAATAGAGAGGGTTGTGTTTTCTGACACTTGGTGAGTTCCCTGGAACACCGGGGACACATATTCATGTATAAAAGACGTACCAAAGTGCATTTTGCATGATAGGTCCCCTTTAAGATTCTCACTGTTAAAACCGCATAAACAAGAACATATGGCTTTAAATTCAACATCGATAACAATATGTAATTGTTCAACAGTGACTCATGTGTACACTTCTGGAAGGGCAATGATTTTAATATCACAATATCCAAATATGAAAGTATTATTTAAGTTATTACATTGTTTTTTATGTCTGGATTTGACAGTAATGGATAAGGCAAGGTTATTTATAAATTACCTTTCAACACAAGGCAATTCAAAGTGCTTTACACATTAAGAGCATTAAGAAACACATTATAAAATGGCATTTCAAAACACTCCTTTAAAAGCAAAGATAATAAAACATGAATAACAAAGGTACATGAATAAAGTTACAGTGCAGTGTGAGATATGTATATATCAATTAAAAGCAGCGGCAAAAAGAGGTACCACCTTTTGTTGAAGATTGGTCAAATTATACCTTATTGCCTTTTTTAAAGAATTGTATTGTCACCTGTACAGTGTAGATATATCAATGACAATCTGAGGTCACAGGCTCCTCCAACAGTGCTACACAATAAAACTGATCAAATAGAATAGCTACCATGTTACTCCTACCTTTGCTTTCCCTTTCCCCCTCAGGGTTGGTACACTGTAGTAAAAGTGTATTTCTGTAATGTTGGTGTTGAGAGATCAGTGTCACTTTCTCACAGCTTACGCAGATGTGCAGGAATTCCTCAAATGAGGGTGATATCCCATGTTTGGTGACCTGGATCTTCTCTTCTTCACACATTCCCTACGTTTCTGGAGTGATTTCTGTCAGCGCCTTCTTCTGCTAAAGAGACGCTGACAGCCATTAATTATCACACAGGCTGAACCAAGGGCATTCCTCTCTGCTGAAATATGACTGCACACACACACACACACACACGCACGCACGCACACATGTGCACATGCACACACGCACACGTGCACATGCACACACATACACACACACACACACACACGCACACACACACACGCGCACGCACACACACACACACACGCACACACACATGCACACACACGCACACACACTCACACACATGCTCCTCAGCCCTCTCTGTCTTCACACTAATGCAGTGAGATACCACCTGGCCTTCATTGGTCTTCATCATATTTGACAAATAAGTCTAAATGTTTTGTCCTCTGGGATCGTCCAATCACCATCCAGCTGTGTTTGTGACGAGCAGGTAGAAGAGGGGATGTGATGATCAGGCAAAACCCAACAGAACCAGTTTTCCAACGAGGTGGTTCTGGTTCAGAGGCGGTGTCCAAATGCAAAAAGCAGTATTTTGTGTTTCCACTGCAGCAGAACTGGCTATCGGCCTCAAAAATGTGTTAAAATCGGGCAACTAGTTGTGAAACACACACTGAAACACACACTGAAACACACACTGAAACACACACTGAGCTGCCTGTGTGTGCTGCACCCACTTTTATGAGAGGAGTTTATGATGATCTGCACAGATACTGACTTGTGATGAAAAGCATGCTGAGGATTTAAGCAGTTTATCAGACCCAGGCGGTAAATCAGTGTTCAGATGCAGATATATGCTGCGTGAGGGCATGTGCGGGAAAATAAATCTTCATACTCGCTAGAGAGAGGACGAGGCCTGCTTAGACGTTTCTCTGATACACTTTAGACAGTTCCAGTGTCCAAAACTTGAGCCAATGCAGTGAAGACAACGTGGTTTCCATGTAGATGCTGGCGGTGGTGAAGAGGTGCAGGTTTGACCCGATTCACCTGGTAAAAAACTCTCAAACAGGTGGAAGGAGGTGGAGAAGGAAGAGAAATGGAATGGGACCATCTCAGATATAGTATGAACTCAATGGTGCCTTACTTATACTTATACTACACTTATTTATACTTATACTACACAATGTGTTTTCAAGTTATAGACAAATTAAGGGAATGAGCCCTTACCCCAAGTGAAGGAGTTCAAGTATCTCGGGGTCTTGTTCTCGAGTGAGGGAACAATGGAGTGTGAGATGGGCCGGAGAATCGGAGCAGCGGGAGCGGCACTGCAGTCGCTTTACCGCACCGTTGTGACGAAAAGAGAGCTGAGCCAGAAGGCAAAGCTCTCTGTCTACCGGGCCATTTCCGTTCCTACCCTCACCTATGGTCATGAAGGATGGGTCATGACCGAAAGAACGAGATCACGGATACAAGCGGCCGAGATGGGTTTTCTCCGCAGGGTGGCTGGCGTCTCCTTTAGGGATAAGATGAGAAGTTCAGTCATCCGGGAGGGACTCGGAGTTGAACCGCTCCTCCTTCGCGTCGAAAGGAGCCAGTTGAGGTGGTTCGGGCACCTAGTAAGGATGCCACCTGGGCGCCTCCCTAGGGAGGTGTTCCAGGCACGTCCAGCTGGAAGGAGACCGAGGGGTAGACCCAGGGCCGTTTCTAGCTTTTTGGGGGCCCTATGCAAGATGCTGTTTGGGGGCCTTAGTTTTTACAGATGTTTAACTACAATGAATGTAGCCTTTAAGATGATCTGTGGAGATGCATCAATCTGTTACACTTTAAGAGGAAAACAGGCTAATTTCACAAAAACCAAGCAATTGAAACTTACAAAAAATGATATTAAAAAGGTAAACAATAAGGCTCCTCTACGTCAATAAATGCAAGAGATGCAGCATTTTCTCAACAATATATAATTTACATTTCTCATCTTCCTCAGACGTCACTCATTGGGTGAC